CAAAAAAGACAAGGATGCCAGGCCCACCTACAAGACTATTGCCCGCTCCCTCGAGAAGCCTGCCGAGGAAGCCAAGCAGGCATGGAAGGTTTATCAGCAACTTGAGGCACGCAGCTAGACTACGTTGCAGCGTTGGCGCCGTCAAAATTCTTTTGCGTGGTTGTGCATTGTCTCGGACTTGGTGTTTTCTTGCCTTGTCTTGCTGTCCTGAGTGTTCAAATCATGATGGAACAAATTGTGCAGACATTCATTACATGGACCCATGGAGTGCAGCCGGCGTGGTTGCAGTATCACGGACCCTCACTTCATGATCGCCTACCTGGAGCTCAAGAGGAAAGGCTATTGCGAATGACGGTACCACCACCACCTCCGCCACAGTTGGTACTACCTCCTCCACCTCCACCACCGCCGCCGCCACCGAAGATTCTTCACCCGCAGTTTATGCCCTCATTGCGGACTTCAACTACTTCTTCCCCCCGAGGACAATCTTGCCCGGCTACTATGACCTCTGAACGCACACGGCGATCAGTTCGCAGCGCCGACCAATTCAGTGATGATCTTCGGAGTCTCACGCGCACCCCAAAGCGAACTCGCACATTGAAAGCTACTGCATCAACATCTGCAGAGCATTATTCTCGACGACCCTTCACCGTGTTCACTCCCAAAAGGTCTACTCGTGCAACACAGTTCAGAACCACAAGATGCAAGCATTACTGCCATGCCTTTCTACATCATGGACGGAAGTGTCTTTCTCCGAGAACTTTCTCCCTGTGTGCGACGTCAACCAGGACATTTCCATTGCAGATGCGCACGCCATCAACGGTGGTGAGCCGGTGCCGAAACACCCTACATGCTTTGTCGCTGCTTCTAGCTTTGAGTTTGAAAAGTTGTTCTGCATCGCATTGCTTGCTGATTGTGCATGGCTTGCCTGTTGGTTGTGGCATGTTTGTTCTATCGCAGACCCTTTGCTTCAAAGTGACGCATTCGGTTGTCATGCTGCCGCGCTACTTTGAGTACAACATTGAGCGCGGCCCGGGAACACGCGAGTGGAATGGATTCGTGTTTACACACCGGGCATGTGGCAGCCTGTGGCAGAATCCACCTTAGGCCCGGCTCCAGACCGCGCGTCCACATATCGCGAATGGCGCAGAGTCTACCACTTTGACGTGTACTTGCCACGTGACAGCACAGGAGGCATTGCGGATGCGCTTGCCACACCGGTCTCCTACGCATCCTATCGCACATGGCAATTTCGTGATTGGCACACGCGGGGATACCAACGCCTTGGTGACCCACGTCCATACATTGGATCGACAGATTTCGTGTCCGATGGATTGTCGTCCTCGTCGGCGTCTTTAGTTCCTGATGGCGCGTGGCGTGAACCTTCTCCCCCGCCGAGCTATGATCCTAATTTTGATTGGGACGAGTGGTGTTGATGCTTGGACTGAATGTTGTTAAAACATTGCGCTTGTTGAGTCTTGCGTCTTGAGTGCATTGCATGCGGCCTTTTGCTTGATTATCTTGTATCGTGTTTGTACCTTGCAGCCGTGTGCATCTTTGACAATCATCATGCCGTGGCTGGAATGGTGCCCTGACCCTCAGCGACCTGACGCTCAATGGGTTAAGATCTTTCATCCAGGATCATGGACACCACAGGACGAACGTGATGACCCTCCTCCACGTCATACGTACAGGGAATGGAAGGAGTTCTATGCCTCAAGCCATGCTCAAGGCGGCGATCAACCGACCAGGAGTACTTGGTACAAGAGGGACTGGACCACAGAAGGTTACCGGCGCGTTGCCGCTCCTGAGCCTGATGATCACGGCTTCAATTCGAGTTCTTCTCCTGACCACCATAGCGTGGCCACGCAATCATCGGCCTTGTGTATGTCTACGCAGATGTTGGATGCGATTCTTCGATCTTCGGATGCTTCGGCTTTGTCTACTGAGGATCTCACTCGTCTTCAAGCATCGATCTGTCAGCAGCAGTCGGATCGCGCGCGTCAAGCGTCCCACCAGCACCAACCGGTACGTACTTCTCGGGGCGTTGAGCCACCTGAGTCTATTGGGGTCGCTGATCCAAATTTGCCTGCAAGCCAACCATGCAGCTCTACCAACAAGGAGAAGCCTATCTTCGAGCTAGGTGCTGAATAGATTGATGCGTTTTGATCGTGGCGCAAAAGGGTGCTTTCACATGCTCTTGCTTTCATGTGTGCTTGCTGGTTGTGCAAGGTTGTGCATGGTGACTGTCCCCTTGCTAGCTGGATCGGAACCTGTGGCACGCCCTGTCTTTCACTTCGACATGGACACAGATGATGCAACTCGGACGTCGGCCCGGATTGACGAGCAGCACCCATGGCTCGAATATTCCGTCTGGCAAGGTCAGGAGTGGGTGCGGATCTACACTCCGGGACAACCTCAGCTGTGGCGCCCAGAAGAGGAAGTACCTGACCTGCCAGACAACTTGTTTCGTGAGTGGAAACGGGTAACCGATCCAGATGATGAGTCTCGTGAACCAGGTCAAGCATGGACAATTCGAGACTGGCAACATCAAGGGTATCAACGGATATTGTCCCGCCATGCGTCTTTCTCCACCCATCATGCTCCGGATCAACCACTTGTTGACGTACAACATCCGGACATCATCCAGGTCGAGGAAATGTTCACCTACGCCCCACCCATGTCTGACGGTGCACATTCGTCATCTTTGCATCTTCCGCCTGTTTTCTATGGCGGCGCACGCTTTGCTCAACTTGGAGATCCTTCGCCCCCGTCTTCTGAGCGGCATCGTACAGAGCGTGCAATTTCTCGTTCCCCCCGCCGCTGTGGATATTTTGGTAGACGTTAAGGAGTTAAGGAGTTGAGCGAGTGATCTTCCGGAAGTGAAAAAGATAATTTTCGCCCCTCGCAGAGGGGCGTGTGTGTGCGGAGTGGCAGAATACCCTGCCACCACAATTTCTCAAGCAGGGGGCACGGCAGCTCATTCTCCAGCCGTGCCAACGAAGCTGTGAGAATGAGCCGGAAGGGAGTTTGGACGCAAACTCCTGTACCTGTAAGTGATTTGGAAAGTCCTTTTGGCCCGCTGTTTCCCTCGCTGTGTGTGCTTCTTGTTCTTTCTGGTAACGTGTTCGCTACTAGTCGGAAGCCAAGTGACTGTGAGCCGAAACTCATTGTACTCGAGACTTGCCAGTTGTACTCGAGACTCATCAGTTGTACTCGAGACTCATCAGTTGTACTCGAAAGATTAGCACCCTCCATCTGGAGTTTAAGTGTGTGTCATCATCCTTCACGCTGTCTCATGCTGTCCCGACTGTTTCTGCCCCTTGGTCACTAGCATCGCCATGTAGAGGAAAACCGCATGATGCAGCAAGCACTATGTTGGTCAGACGTGAAGTAGGAGCCGGCTCTCAGCTTTCCAAGCCTTGGCATTCTCCATTTTTTGCAGCCCCCTGGGAATCAAATGGGGCCAATTGGTCTGGTTTCTTTCAAGTGGTTTCTTCGCAAAGATCATCTACTTGACTTGCCTTGCCCTACCAGAAGCCATCGGTCTGAACGTAACGTCTGGGGTGGGGTGGTTGGGGGTGGGTGAGCAAAGGTGCCGCCTGAATTCACTTTTGACTGGAACCTCCCTTCAGCAGACCGGCCTTCCCAGACTCACTTTGTTTGGAGGTGTGTGTGTGAGTGGCCTGACACCCGTTTGTTTGGCTGTGCCGCTGCGTTTGAGCTCCATATGTCTGAGAAATGCCGTTTCAAATTTGCAATGCGCGGGTGATTTGCCATGAGACGACTGGCTGGAGTACTTGTTGCGGCTTTGCCAGGCAACCCGGCTCCAGCCAGTGTACTATTTTCAAACTTCAAAGCGTGATAGTTCCCCCATATTGCAACTTCCGCGCTGGCAGGGGTGCTGATTGGGTGCTGCAGATAGTGCTGCGATTGCAGGTGCAGCATCTGGTGCTCGTGATTTTTGGCTGCTTGCAGGTGCTGCTGCCGGTGCTACAGCTGCTGCTCGTGTGATTTCTAGTTTTCTGGTGCTGTAGGGCCATGCTGGAGAAACCATTAGCGCTAGAGCGTGCATGAGGAGGTGTGAAGGGCAAAGCGATGCTCAGCACAAAAACACGCTGAACACCAAGCCAGCATGATACCAATGCAAGCTCCGACCCCCAGGTGCAAGATCCACTGATCAAAATTGCTTGGCACCTGCGCGGCATACCAACTTGCAGTCCGTACAAATGGCGCCCCCAAACCAAACACTCCGATATGCAGCACTGCGAGTTCCTGAAAACAAACCTGGAGCATACCTATGCAAGCGCCGAAGCCCGTGTGTAGTTTCCAAGGAGGCATTGTTTGCTTGCATCGTTGACCTCAGGGTGCCTGGCATTGCGGGATGATCTCCGGCACCTGGATTCGCCATCACTATCTTTAGATGGCGAGCTCAGGGAACGCCAGGAAAGCCAAAGCGAGAAAAGCCAGGGCCTCAGAACATTAGCTTTCTCCACGCCGAGGCCGAGGTTCACAGACGGACTAAGCATTCCACCATTCAGACCATTCAACATATTTTGTTGCCAGAATCCTGCAGCACCTGCCCGACCCTGGTGACGTTTGCCAAGCATGCTCGGGCCCAAGATGGCACGTGAATCCATGATGCAGAGAAAGCTTCGCGCAAGGACCACGAAAACAGCTTTATGCCTTGTCGAGGTGGGGTTCACTTGGAGCATTTTTCCGCCCAGCCCGATGCCGTCCATGAGTGGTGCAATCGCGCCTTGGCCGAGTGCAAGAACTTTGGCTGAGCCTACGGGCATTGCTAGGGATTTTGGCAAGGAGCTGGACGAGCTTGGTCATCATTACGGGTCTGTCTGCTGGAAGCGCTGTGTGAGCTAAGACTTGCCTCCCCAGTCGAGATGTGAACTGGGGCCCAGAAGCTACCAGCCAGGCCGGGCATGAATGCGTCTTTTCCAGGGTGCAAAGCCTGAGGGTGTTGTGCCACCACTGGCCCGTGGCAGGTGGAAGCTGCCATCGATGATGAGGACAAGTCATCCAACGTGTTGACTGACTGGGCTGATATCATTTAATCGAAAGGGCCATGGAGGAACCCCTTGAACTTATTTGATTCTCCACTGGAGGGGGGACCATCCCTGATAAGTATGGTTCTCCGGCGTCTGCTGGTCCGGCTGCTTGAGGACTGCGGGCTGGGCGAGGCTGGTGCCAGCCTGAGCAGCTCTGAGAAGAAGGACTGCCGACAGCTACCTGGCGTTCAGAGACTCTGGGAGGCCGAGTTGTACAATCATCCAGGCGCATGCGTAAACAGCGTTACGAAAGAGGTTCATGCGGCGTGCCCAGCATCCTGAGCTTCCTAACATTCCAGGCTTGCGGCTTGCCCACTAAACCGTCTCCAGTCCACATCAAACAGGAACCCAAAAGACAACATGTGATTGCAATGTGATGCACATTGATCGAGTTGCTTGCGGAAGGCCTAGGTGGGCATTTGGGCCGTGCATGCTCGATTCCCGGGCCATTGCCGCTGACCGAGGCTGCATGCAAAGCAGAGCAAGCGGGCCTCTTGGCTCGGGGTGCCGGTGGGCTTCCTGCAGCAGATGGCCGTGTGTGGCCGCTGCACGGTCTGCGAGGCTTTCAGCAAGGCGGGGAAGCGCAAGTTGGACGCTGAGCCAAGTGCAGGTTGCCTAGGAAAGGCTGGGACGCTGAAATCAGATCGATGTCAACTTTTGTTGACACTGTGCACCTTTTGTGCTTTTGCATGCGAAAACACCGCTGGCAGTTTGGTAGTTCTTGTCGAGGTTTGGGAAGTTTTGGGCTCAGCAGCAATGGTTTTACGGGCATATGTCGCGAGAGGCATTTGACCTTAGCCAAATCAGAATTGTGGCCGTGCTTGGGTGGGCAAGACTCCATGCATTCGCTGTGGCGGATTTCTGTGGCGCAGAGCCTGTTGCGAGCTTGTCCTCTAGACCTTTTCCAGACACATGCCATTAGAGCAAAGAAAGGAAAGGGATCCCACCCCCACTATTTCAGTGGGTGAGCTGTGCTTCTCGCAGGTGCGCAGCCTGTGGAGACGGCTGAAAGCTGCCATCAGCAAAGTGGCAGAGAAGTTGCGACAGGTGAAGCGGATGCTTTTTGGCCACTTGGTCAGAGGTAGCTGCGCGGACGGGCACCGGATTGTAAACCCTTTACGCATTGGTGTGGGCGTTGTGCAATTGCAATGTCTGGGCATTGGGGCCCTTGTTTGGCTTCAAGTGGAGTGCACCCTGGATAAGTCTGCGAAGCGAGCGTGACCTGCCGCGCGGCACTTCCCAAATCAAGCATGGCCTTGGAGGGGCAGATTCTTGTTGGGATGGCTGGAGGCTGAGCTGTTCTGCATTTTGAGCCCCCATGGAGTTGCTCAAATATGACTCGTCACATGCGCAGGCTACAGCTATGCCTCGTCACACGTGCGGTCGGAGATGGCACGGCGCTTCGACAGCTACTTCCCAGATGGTGCGACAACTGCCCTGCAGACCGTGGCTCGTCGCAACATGTAGGCCCTCCGCAGGGCATCTCTTTGGGATCTGTGTGGTGGGGGGCATTCCTTCCTTGACGGAGGCATCTTATGTGAACTACACAGACGGAGAAAGCGGAGACATTGACGATGCCATGCACGAGAAGATGGTGGAGGCGCCGTCAAAAATGGCAAGTTTTCTCAGATTGAGCAGCAGCGCAGGAAGCCTTACTCCAAGAGCTGCGGAAGAAAAGTCCGGAGCAGATGGATCAGCACTTGTCCCTCCTGCGCCTTGAAAGCGAACGTTTCTTGTGGGCCTTGTGCTCGTGGCCGGGGCTGCGTGTGACCCTGCTACTGGCAAAGGCAGCAGCGCTTGGAGGAAGTCGAGCGAAAGGACGAGGACCGGGCACCTTTAATTTCACGTGGTTAGTTCGAGCATTTCTCAATTTCAACCATGGTCAGAGCATCAGGGCAGACTGAAGTTTCCTGCGTCAAGCCAACCTCCATTGAGGAGCTGATGCGGGCGACAGAGCGTCAGTTCCAGGCGGACTTTGCCAAGCAGAGGCGAAAGGGAGCCGTTGCTTTGATGGGGTGACGGATGGAGGGAGCCGCAGGAGTCGCTTGGAGATTCAGCTGCCCACGCTACTGGGCAGCGAGCACTGCCAAGCCTTCGTGCCCCTTGGCAAGCGCTTGCAAGGGCCAGGCAGAGCCATGGCTAACGTGACACACGGGCCATGCCATGCTTGACTTCATTCCAAACTCAGAGCAGGCAATGGCATGACCGGCTGGCAATCTTGCAAGCTTGATCTGAGGGAGGATTCCATGGCCAGTCGGACTCTCCAGCTGACCCTCTTTGTTTCAGTGCCAAATGTTGTGTGCCTGAGCTGCAGAGCTGCAGAGCTGCAGTTGAGGCGGCAGGGGGTCCCCTGTGTCCCATTGGATGAACTTGATGAGATGTGCTCCCTTTCGTCGTGACGATGTTCCAAATGCGACAAACAAAGGATCCGGTGCCAGTAAAACTTGTTGCCAATCAATTTTGAGTGCACTTTTCTCGACCGCAGCAAGGGGAGCAGTATTGAATGCACCTTGGTTGCACGGGGGGCGCGGGGCGTGGGGCTGGGGGCCATGGCATGTGTGGGCTTCTTCGGTATTGTGCCGTTGTATTTGCTTCAATACTCAACCCGCGACCACGCAGCACGCAGGCTGCCAAGAAGTACTGACAGCGCGATTCTGTCGTAGCAATCATAGAATCAGGAAAGATGCTTGAGCTGACATTGCTCTCTTAAGGCAGTGGCCGGCAACTTTGTGGGCGCGCTGTACGCGCTTGTGCCGGGTGTCTTCCTGTCGCTGACGCCAAACCTCGGCCCGCTGCATGAACATGAGCATGCCGTTTGTTCGCCTTTTGCTTGCATTCATTTTGAGGCATGGGGTAGGCGATGTAAACTCTGGCAAGTGTGGCTGGCCTGTGAAGGGGGGTATGTTAAAAGAGTGCGCCCTTTAGAGTCCTTACAGGCCATCTGCCAAGCCGGCAGCACCACATGGACAAGTGCCTGGAAGCCTTGAACGAGCAGCGGGAGCCGCAGCTCGGCTCTAAGAGATGGAGGCCTGAGTTTAAGGAATCCCAAACTCCATGAGGCAACTCAGCATGGTTTTTGAAGAAGTAGTGCCTGTTTTTTTTTGGCCAAAACACAGGGACTCAGCAGCCGGCCAACACTGCTTTTCAGAAGTAGCTGTTGTGGAACGCGGGCATTCCCACATCAGGACAGGATAGCTCGTACGTTTCAACGGGGCAAGTTGAATCATTTAAAATCTGTTTTTTTCCACTTTTTTTTCCATGCTTCATTTTGTTCCGAAGCTCGTTACATCTGTTGCACTCCATGCGGTTCCGCTCCTAGGAACTCGGGAGCCCAAAAAAACATTCATTGGCTTTTGCTGGCAACGCGCAGGCATCGTTCACATGAATGCTGGCCACCTCACTTGAAACATGATCCAAATTCTGGCTTGCGTTTACATAAGGGGAAGACAACAAACCACGACTTCGATAGGACTTTTGAGAATTTGGCGCGCGACTTAGGCATGACTCAGGCATGGCTTAGGTATGCATGACTTTGTCAGACCCCTGTAGCAAGCTCTTTGCAAAGTTGTGAAGTGGTTGGGCCTTGGACCTTGCCACATTGAGAAGGAAAGGTGGTCGTTTTTGAACGCGTGTTTTGGCTCGTTTTTGAACGCGGTTTTGCTCAAGTGTATGTGATTTACAGCAGCACGGCCATTTTTCCAAGTGTCCATGCACACCACGATGAGGCGCACGAACACGCACCACGATGCACGTGTAGCACATGGATGGCGCCGTGCTTTTGGGAGACGATCGTCAACTGTAGACCCGGGAACACAAAGCACAAGGAACGCAAAGCGACCTCATCATCATCATCATCATCATCAACATCATCATCATCATCAACAACATCGATATCATCATCAACATCAACACCAGCATCATCATCGCCATCATCAACATCATCAACATCACCACCGACATCTATATCATCATCAACAACACCGTCAACATCACCATCATCATCATCACCACCATCATCATCACCACCATCATCATCACCATCATCATCATTATTCCCACTATCATCAACATCGTCATCATCACTACCAACAACATCACCATCATCAACATCAACACCAACATCACCCTCACCATCATCAACATCATCAACATCACCACCAACATCATCATCAACAACACCGTCAACATCACCATCATCACCATCATCATCATCATCGCCATCATCATCACCATTATCATCATCACCACCATCATCATCATCAACATCATCACCATCATCATCATCATTAACAACATCATCACCATTATCAACATCAACGTCGACATCACCATCATCATCGACATCACCAAAGTCATCGCCATCGACATCCTCATCGCCAACATCAATATCATCACCATGAACATCATCACCATCATCATCAACATCATCACCGTCATCAACATCATCATCATCAACATCATCATCATCAACATCATCATCATCATAATCATCATCATCATCATCATCATGACCATCATCATCAACATCGTCATCATCACTGCCAACAACACCACCGTCACCACCAGCGCGCAGTCGCACGGTCACGCAGTAAGAGGCGGATGTAACTGCCCCACCCCGTCCCCCCCCCCCCAGCCCCGACGCAGTCGCACGGTCTTGCAGCAAGAAGCGAACGCAACTGCCCCACCCCGCCCCCCCCCAGCCCCAATACGCAGTTCCACAGTCACGCAGTCAATTACCCCCTTCCCCAGCCCCAGGATGCAGTCGCATGGTCACGCAGTAAGAGGCGAACGTAACTGCCCCACCCCACCCCCACCCCCAGGACGCAGTGGCACGGTCACGCAGTAAGAGGCGAACGTAACTGCCCCACCCCACCCCCACCCCCAGCCCCAGGACGCAGTGGCACGGTCACGCAGTAAGAGGCGAACGTAACTGCCCCACCCCACCCCACCCCCCCCCAACCCCACGGGTGCCGCAGGATAGCCCCCCCATGTGTTCGAAACTGACCAACTCTGTGTTCGAAAATGATCCAGGACATCGGTGTTCGAAAATGATCCAAAATCGGTGTTCGAAAATGATCCCCCTCCCCATTGAGAATGGCCTTGCCCAGGTACTTGGACTCTTGCACGCACGAACAGCCTTTGATGGCTTGTACTGCCCGCACCTTCCAGCGACTCATGCAAGGAGCGGGCGGCAAAGTTTCAGCGCAGTTTGAAACGAAAGACGAAGCGACTTCGCTGCGGGAGGGAGAATTCATGTGGACACTGCCAGGAGCGCTGTCCCAGCAGTGGTGGCCGCTGATGCACAATGAAGTTGGCACTACGGTTGGCTCCATTGACCTGGGCTATTCGTATGAGCCTTGGCATCAGATTTCCATTGATGCGGCCAGGTCAAGTTGACTCTGTCAATCCTGCATTCATGCGGCGCTGCGAAGTGAAGCAGGCCTAGATTGAATTCCACTGGTGTTCTGTCTTTTCTGCATGGCTCACGCATCTACTTGGCTTAAGGATGAGCTCATGAAAAGCTTGGAGTGCTCTTCACGGGGGAGCTGCTTGGAGAGGGGACTGGATACAGTGGCCCAGGCCTCACAGGACTGGGCAGCAAGTAGCCCGTTTTGCTGAGACCACTTTGTTCGGCCACGGTGCCGCGAGAACCTGCACCGGACGTCCAGGACTTGAAGGCAGTACTTGAGAACACCTCTGCGGACGAAACTGCACGACTAGAGGAGCTGCAGTGTGCTTTTGCAGGCCCGGAATTGGTTCGTGAGAAGGCTTGGCAGGGTGTTCCAAGGTTCGCGAACGAAAGCAAAGCTTGCACGCTTTGTGGCCTTGACCCGGCTGAGCACGTTTGGATTGACACTTTTTGGGTGTGGCGGCTAAGCGTACGTCCAGCAACAATGGTCTGTTACATGTTTTGGCTTCGCTGGCCTGCCAGGCAATCGCATTGACACGGAGGAGAGGCAGCGGTTCAGACGGGGGTAGCCACACTAGTTTCACTTTCACTAGGAAAAATGCGCTCGTTGTGCAACAGGCTTTTCCAGCTCCCTTGGCCCGCTCGGCCGCATTGGACGGCAGGATGCCGAGACGGGCAAGCTGCCAGTTTTCTCTGACAAGATTTGGGCGGCAGCGCTCAAGGCCCATGGCCAGACCATGGAGAACGCCCCAGTGGCCAGCGTGCTGCAATTTGGAAGTTGTGCGGGCTTGCCATGAACAAATGCACACTACAAGAGAGAGAGAGAGAGAGAGGTGACGGCCTTCCCTTTATAGCTGCAATGCGTTGTGCTTCGGCAGTGGAGTTTCGGTCGCGGCAGATACTTCCATGCCAAGGATACACCGCCGTGTCCGAACATGGTGCCATTTGTGGTGGCATTCTGTGCTGATAGCCTTCGCTGCATGGACACTGACCGGGCCGGGCAAGGCAGGGAGCTGCCGTGAAAGTTAAGACTTGCACAGCCCATCCCGGCCCTGCGTGCAAACAGCTCCTTAGTCACGTCTTGCCAGGTTTGGGGCAGGGCGTCTTCGAGGTGGCGCGGGCACGTGCGGAGGAGCGCATCAAGGAGTTCCAGAACATCACAAGAGAATCCACAGTGGCTTGCTATTTCACGTACGCCATGCCAAACACGCAAGATTCCACATTGGGGATCTGCGCCAGGGCTGCCAAACCTGAAGCTGTAAGGAAAAAGTCGGGCCAGACAAGACAGAGGAAAGTGACGACTCGAAAAGGCGCGACGACCTTGCCCTTCTTGCAGGAACGTGCCAGTGCAAGGAATGCGAGGTGTTCGGTCTGATGCAATCAAATTCAAAACCGGCAGGCTGAAGGATCTGTGGCGGACGATGCTGCGGGCTAAAGTCGTAGGCTTGCAGCCTGAGGAAGACGTGTATCAGTGGAAGCCTGGCATCATACGAAGAAAACACTTAAGAACCGGCCAGGGATGCAATCACAGAACGCTGTGCGCATTTCCCAGACCAGCTTTAGCGGTAGGGGCTCAATACTGCTTCAGAAGAGAACGCCAGATGTCTTCTCAGATGCCTGGGTCGGATGCTCTGCGGCCGCGTGCTCGGAACCAGCTGTAAAGGCTATGGGTTGCAAAGGGGATCCGGAGTTGGACCTGGTCTCTAGAGGGATTTTGACCGGTTTCTGGATGACAGGTTTCCGTTCGATCTGACAGTAGTTGGACCAGTATTTAGAGGGGATTTGATTGGTTTCCAGAGGGGTTTGACCGGTTTCTTGTGGGAAGTTGACAGGTTTTTTAGAGGATTTGATTGGTTTCTAGAGAGGGTTTCTAGAGGAGGTCGTGCGGGCGCGAGTGCTCAACGCCCTGCGGGTGCTTCTGTGGGGTGCTCTCCAACACTTCTGTGGGCGCGCTAGCAGTTGGAACCCCCTGCGAAGCCGGACGGGATGGTGCCTTAGGGCCTTAGGGCTGAGACAGAGGTTCCTTTCTCTGTCTCTTTGTCTCGCTGTCTCTCTCTCTCTCTCTCTCTCTCTCTCTCTTGTTAAAATAGAAGTGCAAATGTTGTGTTGTTGTTTTCACAAACAAATGTAGTCTGCCGCAGCCCTTGTTTCTTCTCCAGCTGTAGTGAGGCTCAAGGCCTGCAGTATGTATCAACATGTATCAACTACCAGTGTAGCGTACATGCAGCTGTATCATGCATCCACCGTAGTTTAACACGCCCCCTCGGTTTTGCAACCTGGAAGTGTTGTGCAACCGTAGTTGAAAAAGGGGGGAAATCCAACAGTGACCGAAGGTAGCAACGCTGCTGGCTGTAGTTCATCTCACCCTCAAAGGCCAAAGAATGTAGGGTCCTAGTTAACCGTCAGTAGTCTCAGCGACTCAAAAGATGTAGTCCAGCATGTAGTGATCAAGCATGCTGCTGCCAGTTGTGGAGCCTGTAGTTGCGCACTAGCTTCAACCTGTCGTCGGGTGTGCTGAAGTAGTGTGTGACAAAGTAGTTGTTGAAAGCGGGTGCTCCCCGTAGTCGATTGTCATCGATCTCGGGTGCTGCCAGTTGTAGGTTGTGACAGCGAAGGTAGTTGTTGAGTTGTAGTCGTTGTGGTGAAGTGAGGTCGGTCATGGTGAGTAGTGTGAAGCCGTAGTAGTGTGTGCTTTTGTGGAGAATGGTAGTGATTGCTTTGTATTGAAAGTCGTGTAGTTGGTCGTGGTGGTTGAGGTAGTGAAGTAGGTCAGGTAGGAGCAAGGGCATGTGGTAGATCCAAATGTAGTTGTTCTTCAGGCTGTAGATCTCGGTGAACCTGCTCATGTCGTAGTCCACCTTGTAGATGTGTTGTACGTGTTGTGAGTTGGAATGTAGCGTGGTGTTTGAATGGAGAGCATGTAGGAGATGTAGTCCCGGGTGAAATGAAGTAGTTGAGACACCTCAGTAGTAGTTCCTGCTCGATGTGTAGTTTGACAACAACGTAGTGGTCAGGGTGACCAGTTGTGGTGTGGAATGAAGTGGTGTGGTAGTAGTGAACGTTGCATGTTTCTGCCCTTGTGATGCTTAGTAATGTGGAGTCGTAGTGTGGCTTCCTTAGGTCGCCTGTGATGCATTGGATTGGTCAACCTTAGTCAAGACGGCGGCCGAGTGGTGTTGTTTGTTGTAGTGAAAGTAGTTGATACTCTTCAAGAGCAGTAAAGAGTTGTACGTAGTGGATGTGGTCGTTGAGGTGTAGCGCGTTGCAGTCTGGTGTTCTGTAATGTGCAGTTGCTCGGTGATTGCTTTTGGCTGGTAGTAAAGTGTAGTGCCGGGTGTTGTGTGGTTTGACCCTTGGTAATTGGAGTCTGTAGTTTCCACAGCGATTGGAGTTGATGCTGGGTCAGGTGTAGTCACACCCATTGTAGCACCCACGCTCGAAGGTCCAGCGGCCATGGCTGTAGTGGGCACGAATGGACCAGTGTAGTGAAACACGGGGTGCCTTAGTGGAGCAAAACAAATGGTTGTAGGCACGAGCAGACAACCAACAAATGTAGTAATGCCTGAGCCGCTTGAATGCCGCCAAAGTGCAAGTGATACACATGTAGTTACATTTGCCAATACTTGAGTTGGGTCACATGTAGTCAAGAGGTGATACAAAACGTGTAGTCGAAACGCGCGTGAAAAGTTCCGCCAACGGGGAAAATGGCATGTTGTGAAACGGTCGTTGTTGTTGTTGCTGCTGGTAGTTACACACTCATGCTTAGTGACTGAACACGTCGTGTGAGTGTGTCCTTTGTTGTGTACTGTGTTAAGATGTCTGCGTTGTTGTGAAGTGTGTTGATCTTTGCTATTTTGGTAATGTTGTTCTTGATGAGGTCTTGTGTGTAGAGGAACTTGAGGTCGATGTGTTTTGCTCGTTTGCTTGAACCTTGTCGTGTAGCTATTCTCTTGCCTGCTGTAGAGTCAGTGTGAATGCGTATGTTGATTGTAGTGCATATTTTTGTTTCCAGGAGGAAGGATCTCAGGTGTAGTCCTTCATTCTCTCCTGTGCAGATTGCGTAGAGCTTTACTCAGCTGAGCTCAAAGCAACTGTAGCTTGAGTTCGGCTTCCAAATGCTATCGTTGTGTTGAGTGGTTTGGTGTTGAAGCCTAATGTTGATTTGCCTGTAGTTGGGCATCCTGCCCAATCGGCATCAACGTAGATCTCGAGGTCGAGGCAGTTGTTGGTGTCAGAGTTGCGTGTAGCGGTTGGTTGTATTATGAACTTGTAGTGCTTGGTTCCTTGAAGGTAGCGTAGCAAGTTTTTGACTCGTTTGTTGGAAAGTTCTGTAGGTGCTGTGAGGTCTCTTGCAAGTTCTTTGAGTAAGCAATGACTGGTCGTGTGCAGGCTAGCCATTGTAGTTTTCCTACAACACATCTGTACCTCTTGTGTTGTTCTTTGTCAAGTAGTGTCTCCTTTCTCGCGGTGTACCCATCGCGTAGGGATTGCTTCCCTTATTGTAGAGGGGTCAAGTGTGGAGATGTCTACTTCTTCATAGACTTCGTGTAGTTTCATTTGTGTTGCCTCTGTTTTCATCCCCGTCCAGTAGTTTGGATTCGTCGAATCCTTCGTTGTCAAAAATGATTGGTTGTTGTTGTTCGTCGGGGTCGTAGTGAGTGTGCGAGTGGATAGTAGTTCCGTTGTGTAGTTCGATTGCTGCGATCATGTTGGTCCGTTGTCGTTGTGACTGTGGTTCTATAGTGTTCGTGTTCGGTTGTCCTGACAGTAGTTCCTTCTTTTGCCTTTTGGGCCTTTGTTGGTTGCATTACTTCGTGATGGTCGTGGTGGATGTCGGCGTGTGGTCGGTGATGTAGCCATTGGTGAGTCCGGTTGCTGCGAACTTGAAGATCCTGTCGTGGGCCTCGTCGAAGGTAATACTGGCCCTGCATGCAGTAGTTCGCGCTTGTTTGCTCGGTGGTGGTTGTGGTACGTCGTCTTCAGCGTTAGTCTGTTGTCCTGCGTCACGTTGAGGTGGTCGTGGAGATTGCGACGGTGGTCGTTTCGAGGAGGGTCGTAAAAATCGGGTCGTAGTTGTTACGTCTCGGTGACCGTGGAGTTACGGTTATCTTGTTCAGTAGTGCGAGGTCGTACTGGAAGTCCGGTTGTAGTCTCCTCACCGTGCGTACTTTCGTCACTCCTTGTTCTGTAGCCACGTAGTTTTCACCTGTTTCGGAAACCTTACCTGACCAAATGCATTTCTGCATGCGTAGTTCGGCTTTAGGTAGACTCTTGTGCTGCGGTGGCATGTACAGTAGTGTTTATCCGAATTCTACGATTGCTCGTTCGCAGTTGCGTCCCCAGCGTCGTTCGAAGCTGGTGTGGCCGTCGGAGTGTGCTACGTAGCGGTTGATGGTCCACGCAGCGTGTCGTATGGTCCATGGTAGTAAGGGATGTTTCACGTTGAGTGTAATCCCGTAGTTGCGTTCGACTTGTGCCTTGAAGGTGCGTATTTGGCCAAGTGGTGCTCGTGTAGTCGTTCTACACTTCCTTCGCTGTTACTGCTGTAGGCCGGTGAGTGTCGTACTGTCATGGATCCTAGTTTTGCTGCTGTGGCTTTTAGTAGTGTATTGAGTGTGTCCTCGTTGTCGCTTTGTAGTATTCCATTTGTGCGACCGCATTCCCGAATGAATGCTTGTAGGTTGTTGGTCATGTAGTCCATCATTGAGGACTTGTCCGGAACGAGACATGCCACACACAGTTGTGTAGTTACGTCAACTGCTGTCTGTGCTGCTGTAGGTCGCGGCTCCCGACTGGTCTTGACGTAGGCGAAATTGGCGAAATCGACCTGAATGATGGGTTGTCGTGTTCGTTGTGTTTTGTAGTTGTCTTGTCGTCCTCTTTTTTCTCTGTAGGGAAGATGTGTGAGTTCATGTTCATGAACTTCCTGTGGTGTAGGTTTGCGAGGTTGTCGTAGTCCTTTGGCTCGTTGTGCTTCTATGTGTGGTTCATCATCTGCAAGGATGTTGTCATCCATGTAGTGGTATCCTTCCTTCACAGTGAACCGTGTTGGACCGGTCCAGGTGTAAGGTAGGTGAGTGTTGCGAGCTGTGGTCCAGTCGTCCTTGTGTTGTTTGACTTTGTTGAAGTTGTTGGTGGTGATTGTAGTTCTGTGTAAGGCTCAAGTGAGTCAAATGGTGGGTGTCCTGGACCATCTGTTGGAATGAACATTGTAGTGCGTGGTACGAAGTGGTGTCTGATCCAGTGTTCTCCTTGTCGTTCCCAGTAGTCTTGCTTGTCTTCTTGTTGTGTCGGTGGTCTAGTTATTTTGGATGTAGGTGCCGGTGTGTTCAATGCTTGTTGGTTGTGTTTGTTGTGCTTTAGGCCTGGGGAATCGGGGAAGGTTTTGTGGAGTGCGCATTGTGAGCGATGTCCTGGTTGTAGTTGTTGTTTGTTTTTCAGGTTGTGCGCTTGAGCTTTGTCGTGCGATTGTAGTTTTGCCTGTGATCCTGTGTGTAGGATTCATCTTTCTTCTAAACCTAGTTTCGCCAACCCAGTCGTCACTGGGTAGTCGTTTGTGAAGTTCGGTTTTGGAAATCTGCTTCAGGCAGTCTTGTAGTATCTCCAGTTCCTTGCCAGTTCTGACAGCTGTAGTTTGTCTGCAGTCGTCTAGTTGTTCTGTAGGTATTGGGCATCCGGAGTCTTCTGGTGTGAAGAGCGCTTTTCGTGGGCGCTTGTGTACTCGGATGGCGTAGCCACCATCGAGTTGCCAGTAGTCAGTGTTTTTTCCAAGAATCCTTCGCAGTCCTTGGTCAGTGTGAGTCAGTGGTGCTATAGTATTGTGTTGTGGCAAGTGGTTGTCCGTAGCGATTGGTTGTATCACAGCTCTCATGACTCCGTCGTGGTCCATTAGTGGTTGTAGTTCGTGACCTTTGGGTGTGTAGATCCGCTTGATGGCCAAGTAGAAGAGTCCTCTCCGTCGAAGTAGTGGCGCTGTGTTGTCACCGTGTGAAAGAGAACAGTGTCGTGTGTCCAGTTTCAGGTTGTAACCTCGATGCAGTAGTCTTGATGCGCTACGGATCGGGTACTTCGCGTCACAAACGTAGTAGGGAATCATGATCTTGAACTTGTCCTTCTGGTAGGGCACGTACTTGATTCCGTAGACAGGGATTTGCCTGTTTGTGACCGTGTAGAGTTGCGAAGTGTGCAGGGCCGAAGTGGTATATCTGGTGCATAGTCTCAAGGACAAACATGTGTGGATGCTCCAGGGCCTAGTAGTAGGTAGTGAAGTTGATCCTGTTGCTGTTGTTTGTTGTTGCCTTGCATCAGGTACTTGTAGTACCTGTTGTAGTGATTGCTTCCATGTGCACTGTTGCTCTGTTTCTCTGTAATAGTAGGCCTGGTTCTTGTCTTCATAGTGTCCGATGACCAGCCTTTCGTTGATTCTACTGATGTCGTGGGTTGTGTCGTAGTCGTCTGATGTGCCACCAATCCTGTTCTGCTTGATTGTAGTCCTAGTCTGGTTCTTGCCAACTGTCTCCTGTGTCGTCTGCATAATCTGTAGTTGCGTAGTCTTCCCAATCTTGTGAGTAGATCTCTTCCGTCTCGTGGTCGTAGTCTTCTTGAGGCTCTCCTTCGTGTAGTTGCCAGATTGCCATTCTGCATTCTGCAGCGTAGTGGCCGTACCTGCCGCATTTGTAGCATGTTCCTTTTCCTTGGCTGTTGTTGTAGTTTCCTTTACCTTTTCCTTTGCTTTTGCTATTGCCTCCTTGCTAGTATGAAGCTTTGTGTCCTTTGCCTTTGTTGTCTTTACTGCAGTTTTGGCCGTAGTTTGCTTCTCCTGTGTTGCCCCATCTCTCCTTGAAGGCCGTGGTGGGGTTCCTTTGCCTTTTCCTTTGTAGTTGCCTTTTCCTTTTCTTCGATGTCCTTTGTAGTGTCCTTTGTGTCGTCCCTTGCAGTTTCCTTTCTTCCACAGGTTGTCAACGTCCATTGCTGCTGGTCCACCTCCGTAGTTGCTGCCAACGGCTGATGATGTAGTTGCACTCATCTTGGAAAATGCCGAGGTGGCCTTGTAGTACTCGATCAGCACATCACGCACTGCCGTGTAGGTAGTCATTGTTCCAGCTCGTAGTTGAAGATGTTGTTGCAGTGCTCCTTTCGTCTCATTGAGTAGTGCTGCAATCTTTACTCCATCTGGTAGTGCTGCTCCGTTGTCGCGCTCATACCTGTTGAGGTCATATTCCCATTGTAGAACAGAAACTGCTCTTCAATCTGTTGTTCGCTGAATGAAGGTTTCAGTAGTTTAGTCAAGCAGCCAACGCTTCTTGTACCAACTGGTAGGCTGAACCGGTTGTAGTGTTGCGCAACCATTGGCTGTGTAGCGGTTTTGTCTGACCACTGTAGCCGCTGGGCCTTGACAGATGCTGATGAGGATGTAGTGTAGGTCACGTGCAAGGTTGGCGAGCTTGTTGCCTCTTCCAGTGCCAGGTAGTACCTCATTGATCAGGTGTTGGTCTACCACTGTGTTTGTAGCTACATCTGCTGCTCGTAGTATTTGGTCGAACTCGTTGTCGATGAGTCCCAAGTAGGCTTGTAGCTTGAATCTCCATTCATTGTAGTTGGAGTAGCCACCATTGAAGTATGGTGGTGGTAGTTTGTACTTGTGTAGTCTCTGCACATCGCTTCCTGCCTGTGTTGTTGCACCTATTGTTCCTGTAGTTTGTGCTGGTGGTATGCCTGCTGATGCTGCCTGTTGATCTCCTGCTGTCATGTCGTAGTAGTTGGGCATACTGTGGGCTACTGTAGTCGTTACTACTGGAGCTCCCCCTTGGGTAGGATCTCAGCTCCGCTACCTTGTTAAATACAGGTGCAAATGCTGTGTTGTTGTTATCACAAACAAATGTAGTCTTCCGCAGCCCTTGTTTCTTCTCCAGAAGTAGTGAGGCTCAAGGCCTGCAGTATGTATCAACTACCAGTGTATCATGCACCCACCATGCCGGATTGCCACGTCAAGCCTGCCTGGAAGAAGCCCTGATTCCCCCTCCATCGGCTGAAGCGCGCAGAAGCCTCAAAACTGATAGCCTTGTTGTAGCCATCGGCGTGAACCGATGCTGGTGCACCCGGCGTGTTCGCTGCACGTGCGCTGCCTGGCGCGCTGGCACACTCGCGTATGCCCGGCGTGTGCCCAGCGCGTGCCGGCCAGTTTGGCTCACCTGTCACAAGTCGGCCTTGTTAGGCGCATTTGGTGAGCGTGCGCCACCATCCCCTTGCATTGTGTGCGTTGCATACGCTTGCTGCTTGGTCAACGCCAGTATGATTTGTTTGTTGCAAGGCTGGTTGGTGTGTCAACATGTTTGATAGCCTTGCGGGTCTGCCAGGAACTTGCTTTGGCAAGCTGCGAACTTCACCAACAAGGCCCCTTGTGTAGCTTGAACGTCTCAATGGTTTGCACAGTGAGGCTGAAAGCCGGGAAAAGGCTTGCTTTGCTCTGGAAACGACAGGCAGGACGCATGGCGACCTGGCCGGCCATCCGCGCAGCTTTGGATGGAGAGGAGACAGAAGCGGTGCGGGGCCTGGTTTTCCGGGCTCGGTTGCATTGTCGGCGGCGTTGGCTCCGAAACTGGGCATGCCGTGGCTCCCGAAAATTTATGGCGTGGAACCAAGATCGATTGGGTCGCTACAAGGAACTACTGGCAGCCCCTTGGTGGCAAAGTTAGTTGTGTGGGAGGCATGCAAGGCGCGAGGCCAGGGTCTGAAACCAGGGCGTGACGCAAGGCGAGTCCTGGTCATGTCAGCCATGAAGCTCAATATTCGTCAGAAAGAGACGGCCGGCGCCGATGATGCTCCATGGCAGCAGAAGAGGGGGTGAAAGGCCTTGTCTGTTTTTGTATAAATGTCACCTGTCAGCCTCTGGTTTCTGTACAGCGCTCCAACGCCGTCTGGCCGCTTGGCTGGCCAAGCTGCAGGTGCATGAAGAGCTGCTCGGCCGCTTTCGAAAGGTTGGGAGTGGCTTGTGCCCTGCCAGAGTGGGAACACCCAGATATGCGGCGGGTTGGATGTGAGGGAGCCAGGGGGGGGGGGCGGGGGGGGGACCTTAGCTGCTGCGGGCTGCTGTTTCTATGTTTGGTGACCTTCTCCATCGGCGCGAGGCGAAGCCTGCCCGACGTGCTGAAGAACCTCCGGTCCATCTTCGACACTAAGTTTTGCTCCCCCGGGGCTTTGGGCGGCCTGAACTTCGGCAGTGTGTAGCAAGTCGCTTTGGGAAACCCTGCTGGGGCGTTCGCAGGAGGTAGCAATTGTGCTGGCCATGCTTTCTCAATCTTTCTCAGGGCTCTGCATGTGCGACTCCATGCAAGCTGAGGACGGATGAGACCTTATACCGCTTGGGCGTGAAAGATGAGGTGTGGAGTGGGTGTGAATTATGGGCGCTCTTCCCCATTTGCGCCAGAGTGCAGACAAGCTGGCACCTGTTGTATAGGCACTCAATGCAAATCCAAATTTCTGTGTTCAACCAAGTCAGTGAGCTTGGGCTACGTCTGCACAAAATCACATATGAATCAACACGCGGCTTACCCGCAGGGTAACAAGGCACTCTTCCCTAGGCGGCTTAAGCATTCAATAAGCCTGGCCGGTTCCTTGTGGAAGGGTGTTTCCACAGCTGTTTGGCAACTTGATGGACTGCCGTGTCGGCTGCAGTTTCTCAGTTGTTTTGCAGGTCTCGCTGGCCATTGCAGACATGGACAAGCAAGCTGTCGTGGTCAAGATGCTTTGGCTTCGAACCATCTGACTTTACATTCCACCCCTCTCGCCATGTAGAAGCAGTGGGGCAGAATGTCAGTGGTAAAAGCATGGCATCACTCGGAAGATTCAGGATGTGGAAGCTTTGGGCAGCAGTGAACGTGAAGGTCAGCGACCAAACGAGGACAGCGCAAATGTCGAGTTTCATGCCACCCACCTGCTTATACCGGGTGCTCTCAAGCATGAAATCTGACATGAGGCTGCAAATCTTCAAGGACCAACTGCAGCGGAGCAGCTGCAACTTTGACAGTCTAGTTGTTCCACTGGACCTTTTTACATTTCTGAAAGAAGGAGAACAACCCAACCATGCTACTGGCGTGATCTTTGCTTTTTGTTTGTCCAAGCATTGTGTTGCCCAGGCAGTTGCATGTGCTACGACGCCTGCGGCAAACTGCAGCCCTCCGGTTTTGTGCACTGCCCCAATGGCTTCCACCAGGAGGCGTGTATGGCGCATAGAGTCTCCGTGAAATGTCTTCTTTCGGCCTAGCCGAGAGGCAGTGGACAACCTGACTGTGGCAACGCTGCATGCCGACAAGGTGATCCTTGACAGAGCGCCTTGGCAATGCGTCGGGGTGGCTGATTGGTGGCCAATGCAGCAGCCACGCACACATTAGCTGGACAGATGGTTCAGACAGCTTGCAGGTCTATGCCCACGGGGCAAAGTACCAGAATGTAGAGCTGCTCCTCGGCTGAAAGCGAGATTTGATGCTGTATGCTTCAAGGTTGGCCCATCTTATTCGCCACTGCCCAGGTCCATCGTGGAGCTGAATAGCCAAGGCAGTTGCCAGCACAAGCTGGAGATGCGATATTCGGAGAAAGGGCCACCTGGCACTAAGTCACCAACTTCAGTGTTGACATAGTTGAGATATGTGAAGGGGGGCAGCAGAAGGGTGTGGCACGAACATCTCCAAACAGCTCCTGATTGGGCACAGCTCCCCATGATCAATGGTGGTGGGCGACGAGCATGCCCAGAATCTAGATACAGCTGGCAATGAGTCAGCAGAGAGAGTTCCAATGAGAAGCACAGCCTAAGCACCTAATCCAGAAGTTGCTGGGCATAAGGTGACCGACAATTGGTGATGTTTTGGCCATGGCAGATGGGACGAGGGGAAGCACGAGCACAGGAGTTGATAGTCATTTATCCTGCTTCATTGCGAAAGGTGCATCACGCTTTGCAAATGCCCCCGTTCTGAATACATGGGATGTTTGCCATGGTCTTCAAAGACACAAACAGAAGCATTGTCAGGTGTGAGGTCAACACAGGCAAGGTATTGAGTGGCACAAAGCCCATTTGATCCCGGGACTGTGCATTTGTTTTGGCGGCATCTTGCGCATGAGGAAGTGGAAGACACTTTCTGGATACATTGCGCAGTGCAACATGCCCGACTTTGTGGTGCTGAGCGAAGGCGCTCAGCTTTTCAGTCTTTTTGGGGAGCTTGGTGGCTGTTTGAGGTTAGTCTCAGCTGCCTGCTCGGACCCCTGGCGTGACTCTTTTCTTTCTCTCATTGCTTCTCCTCCTCTCCTGCTGGCGAATGACAAGCAAGGCTGACAACCATGGCAGCAATGGCAAAGGACACACAGAGCCCCCAAACATAGCAAACTCATTTCAATGGCTATGCCCCAGATTTCATGTTTGGGGAGTCACCTTCCTTCATCGACTTCATGCAATACGCATCGCGTGCATTCTTGCTGTTGACACTCTCATGTTGTGTTTCCATCCGTGCGATTCTACTTTGTTTGGGTGCCTAACTTCACTTGCCTTCCTGCAATGGGTGTCGCACAAGCGGGCAATTTATGCCAGTGATATGGGGCCCCAGCATGTGCCAATGCATGGCCATCTTTGCAAGGCAGGAACTTTACCAGAGCTAAATGTGTGCGCATGCAGCGCCATTGCCAACCACGGAACATGGAACTGAGAGGGGTCCGAGATCACGTCACTTGAGCCTGCCAGGCCTCGACCTGCGCATCACTCTGTGGGAGCCAATGGGTGACGACCACCTAGACGCCACCTGGGAAACGTTTCTGCAGCCGAACCAGCATCACAGCGACGTGCATGAGTGGGCCTGGGAAAGAGACGAGGAGGATTCTTTGGGCTTGCCGTATTGAGCCTGGCGACAAAAAGGTGTGGTCAGGGCAAGGGTACAAGCTGCTGGCCGAAGAGGGCAAACAGCGCGTGCAGCTCAAGTCAATGCCCGGAGGCTCAAGTCAATGCCATAGACTGCACCGGCCACGGTGTGCCTTAAAGAGATTCACTGAAGCAGGTGTTTGACTTCTACTTGAATCGTAGCCTGCGCAATCATGAATCAGCACCGCGCCCTGTTTTTTTGAGTCAATTAACCCGTTACGGACTGCAGATGACGCATCAGGCCAAGATTCATGGCGTCGACCATTTAGCAGGAAATACCTGGCACGGTTTCCAGCATGGCCTGATGTGAACACCCATCCACGTTTCAGCAAAACACCGCTCCTGTCCCGTGTGCTTTTTGCCAATGCAATGGCTGAAGCAGAGGCGCGGCGCAAAATCAGTCGAGGCTCATGCTCATGGGGCTCACGAGGCTCACGAGGCTCACGAGGCTCACGAGGCTCACGAGGCTCACGAGGCTCACGAGGCTCACGAGGCTCACGAGGCTCATGGAACTCATGTGGCTCATGGGGCTCTCCAGTCGCAGGCGCAGCTGGCACTGGCGGCCGCCGGCGTGGCCTCAGCTGCTTCGTTGCAGCGGATGGCCGCTGAGATCTCGCTGGAGGCGCACGGCTACGTGCCGTGGCCGGTTGAGCGGGGGATCTTCAAAGGCAACACCCGTCAGGCCAGGGTCCATTTGTTCAATCTCTCCAGCCCTAAGCGGGCTGTAGAAATGAGACATTCGTTTGGGCAGATTGGGTTGCGGACATGGTCGGGGCGATGGACGGCGATTGGGGGACATTGTTGGTCTTTGTCCTGAGGAAGCCATCCGAAAGAATTCATGAGGAGAGTGGCATTGCAATTGAGATCAATCGAGTGTGCATCTTAAACGGCCCGACATCATTTCACCCCCAACGCAGACATGACTGCATTTGTGTAGGGAATGTCTTCATTTGTCTTGGTCACTATTTTGCCGTTGCCTTCGGATCCAAAAATGGGGCCAGATGTGCGAGCCTGCTACTTGAGAAGCTTTCTGGGGTTTTGCGGTGTGATGTGAAGGAGCGGGGATGGGCCACACGGCCCACGCGAATCCCATGCGAAGGTGTCAAGCACAGAACGCAGCCGAACTCTCGGGGCAGATGAGTCGGCGAACGTGAGATTTGGCACTTTTCGGTTTTGCTTTTGGCTCAGGAACCAGTGCGGCGGCTGGGTGGCTCGACAACTGCCACGGTGATGGTGGTACATCGGCTTGGGCTCCCCGGCCAGCAGTTTGTGGTGAAGGCGATGGCGTTGCGAGGGATGAATGCGCAGGGCCGACTGCGCGCATTGAAGGAGATCCAAATTCTCAAGAGCCTCAGACACGAGTGCATCATTGAGTACATTGAAAGCTGGTGGGTTGGTGCGGGTCCCGACTCTGGGCGCCTGACCCTGGTCATGGAGTGCGGTGAGAACGGGGACTTGCGAGTGCCGGTGCAAGCAGCAAGTCAGACTGGGAGACACTTGGAGGAGGTGTTGATTCTCAGCTGGCTGCAGCAAATGCTCCGAGGCTTGCAACACGTCCACCAAAAGGAGATCATCCATCGCGATTTGAAGGCGATGAATATTTTTCTCAAAGACACTTGGCGGACTTGCAAGCTTGGGGACTTTGGGATCTCCACTGCGCTGAAAAGCGGCAAGTCAGCATCTGGCTGTGTGGGGACGCCTGCCTACATGGCCCCAGAGCTCTTGTGGAACCAGCGGTATGCGTCAGCAGTGGACATGTGGGCAATTGGGGTGGTGCTCTATGAGTTGATGGCGCTTCGGTTGCCATTTGCTGGCTCCAATGTGCTGTCCCTCGTGTACCAAATTGCATTCAACAGCCATGAGGACGAGCCTCTGCGTAACGCGGGCTATTCCATGGCGTTGATTGAACTTGTGGCGAGGCTCCTGGATAAGGACCCTTCCAGGCGGCCAAGTGCGGCAGAGTTGTTGTCTGAAGCCTCTCTATGGGACGCTTTCTCGTTTGAGGCAGCGGTGACTCTGGCAACGGCCTCATTCAACCAGAGCTTGTCATCGCGTGAGCTCTCTGCTGCTCGCCTCTCCGAGGGCGTGGACGCTCTTATGCCTGGCATCAACGTCGTGCCGGTCCAAGCCATGTCTGGGACGGACAGTGAGTGGGGCGACGCCATGGCACTCCTGGGGTCCATGGCCAGTGACGTTACATTGAGTCGTGTTGCCGACCAACCGATCCCGGCCAGTTTGATTTCTGCAGAGACTCTTGGGAGTGTCGTGTCCAATGCGAGGGTGTGGGAGGAGATGCTGAAAACTCGGGAGGAGAGCGACGCAGTTTCGATGCACCGTTTTGAAGAGCTTTTGAGGTCGCTTGGCGAGGGCTCATCCAAAGTTGCCCCAGAGTCGCAGAACCTTGGCATTCCGAACAGCCAGGCGGCACGCGCTCCCAGCTGCAAAGAGCAGGCGGAGGAGCACATCGCGCGCGCCGCGGAAGACGTGGCTAGTTCTGCTTGCCTGCAGAGGATGGCGGATGAGATTGCTTTGGGGTCCCATGGCTACGAGCCAGTGCGGCGGCTGGGTGGCTCGACAACTGCCACGGTGATGGTGGTACATCGGCTTGGGCTCCCCAGCCAGCAGTTTGTGGTGAAGGCGATGGCGTTGCGAGGGATGGATGCGCAGGGCCGACTGCGCGCATTGAAGGAGATCCAAATTCTCAAAAGCCTCAGACACGAGTGCATCATTGAGTACATTGAAAGCTGGTGGGTTGGTGCGGGTCCCGACTCTGGGCGCCTGACCCTGGTCATGGAGTGCGGTGAGAACGGGGACTTGCGAGTGCCGGTGCAAGCAGCAAGTCAGACTGGGAGACACTTGGAGGAGGTGTTGATTCTCAGCTGGCTGCAGCAAATGCTCCGAGGCTTGCAACACGTCCACCAAAAGGAGATCATCCATCGCGATTTGAAGGCGATGAATATTTTTCTCAAAGACACTTGGCGGACTTGCAAGCTTGGGGACTTTGGGATCTCCACTGCGCTGAAAAGCGGCAAGTCAGCATCTGGCTGTGTGGGGACGCCTGCCTACATGGCCCCAGAGCTCTTGTGGAACCAGCGGTATGCGTCAGCAGTGGACATGTGGGCAATTGGGGTGGTGCTCTATGAGTTGATGGCGCTTCGGTTGCCATTTGCTGGCTCCAATGTGCTGTCCCTCGTGTACCAAATTGCATTCAACAGCCATGAGGACGAGCCTCTGCGTAACGCGGGCTATTCCATGGCGTTGATTGAACTTGTGGCGAGGCTCCTGGATAAGGACCCTTCCAGGCGGCCAAGTGCGGCAGAGTTGTTGTCTGAAGCCTCTCTATGGGACGCTTTCTCGTTTGAGGCAGCGGTGACTCTGGCAACGGCCTCATTCAACCAGAGCTTGTCATCGCGTGAGCTCTCTGCTGCGCGCCTCTCCGAGGGCGTGGACGCTCCTATGCCTGGCATCAACGTCGTGCCGGTCCAAGCCATGTCTGGGACGGACAGTGAGTGGGGCGACGCCATGGCACTCCTGGGGTCTGTTGCAGACCAGGTTGGTTTGGACAGCATCACGGGACTGCCAGTTCCTTCGGCAGAAGCTGTAGCAACGGAAACCTTTGGCAGCTTTGCGTCTTGCTGGCACCATCCTATCCTTGGCCGGTCTTTTGCGTTCTTACGTCCAAGCTTGATACTGACATGTACGACCAGCGCCGGGGTTGGTTTGCTGCACAGTTCTTGAGAAAGCGAGAGCCGAGGTATCTGAGCAACAGTTGTGGGATGGTCTGCAGAAGTCGCGCCATGATTGTGATACTGTTGATCGAGGCCCCTGGGCATTGGGAATGGTTCGCTGTCTGAATTCATCGCTCGCATGGCCTGGCCTCGTTGCACGCCCGACTTTGCTATCTCAGCTTCTGCGTTCGTTGGCGATTATGAGTACTTGCCCTACTGAGGTCAGCTTGATGATTTGCTTCATCAGCTGCAAGAGATGATGCCCCCAACAGCTCCACCCTTACCAGCCGACAAGTCAGAAGGAGAGGGCGAAGTGGGAGTCCTTTGCGGTGTTCTTATGCACCTGGCAAGGCCGCTAAGGCAAGATTTCTGAACCCCCGTCCACCCAAACCTTGAGACCCACACCAGTCTGCACACACACACACACACATACATCCTGCCTGCGAGGACCTCTTGCACCTCCGGAACTGCCACCTGCACCTCCCCCGCCACCTGCGCCTGATGCGCAGGACAGGATCTTTCAGCTGAGCTTATGCTAACCTGCAGCGCTTGTGCCATGCAATGGGCTTGCTTGATTCTGCTTGATGTCTTGAGTTCTTGTGCCGCCTTCCATCGTGCCCTACCCCCCCTCCCCCCCTCTTCGGGCTTTTCAGGCCGAGGACTCCACGCAGCTGGTGGCCCGCGTAGATCTTTTCCTGAAGCGGAGAGGGGTCCGCTGAGGCGGAGCCAAGCTTGCGCCAAGCAGCTTGCAGTGGGCAAATCTGTCCATAAAGAGAGGCAAAGGCCTTCTCACCGAACCTGGTGCTACCACTAGTCCTGGAGCTCGAAGAATTGAAATGTATATTTTTAGGTTCCAAAAGTTCAGACAGCTCCTCTGCTCGCGGCACTTGTGGAGATCACTTCGGGCATATCACGCTCTTCTGCAAGCGCATGGCGCAGATCAAGCCAATGAGCTCGTGCATGACAGCCTTCGAAAACAAATCAGCTAGCGAATGGGCCGCTAGCCGCGGGGGTTTTGAAGCACGGCAGGCGAGAATCAAGGCGGCCTACCAATGATGGTCCGGTGATGGCGCGTCCGATTGCAAACCACAGGATGGGGGAACAAGGTGTTGGAACCAGTGTTGGGTAAAATGAAGACAGGCATACGCAGCTTCTGGCATTCATTTGGCCTTTTGCTGGCTGCAAGGTATTTGGCATTGGCATATGGCAACACCCTTCGTCAACCCCAAGCTGACACTGCTACCACAGAGTTCGGGTGACTTCTGAAAGCTTGGCGGCCCAAAGTGGCCGCAGCAATGCGCTTGCTGCTTGGCCTTCTGCCACTGGTGCGATGTGCGCCGTGCGATCTTCCGGTGAAGCGCATCGAGCAGGGGGTCTTGCAACGCTCCTCTCCCAGCCAGCAGGATGTGGAAATACTTGTGCATGTAGGCCAGACTTGCAACTTCTGAAGGGCAACAGCATTGAGGGCATTAAAGGCATCATATGTATTGAAGGGTATCGAACACTTCTAATAAGACGCTTGTATGATCTCTCCATACTGAGTCATAGGTCCTTGATTCTCTGCGGCCATGGCACCAAGCCTGCGTGATGCAAGCAAGCCCCCACCCAAAGCCAAGCCTTCCTTGATCCGTCGCAGGAGTGGGCGGCAGCCTTCGACGTCTCTGTCGCAGAGTGGCAGGCAGTGGTCCAAGATGAGGAAGAGGCTGAAGAGCTGAGGGAGCTACTGGAGCAAGGCCTGCTTGCGCTCGCACGGGGTGTAGGATGTTGAAGACTTGGGGCCTTCGACGGTACATGGCATACGATGTGGCGATTCACCAAATCGAAGTGGGGTCCTTTTGCCCAGGGCAAATCTGCTTCCACTTTGGGTCCTATCAGCATGTTTGCCGTGCTGGGCCTTGTTGATCTTGTTGGTCATAGCTTGCAGCCTTGATATGCCTGCATTGCCTTCATGGTCTTCATGACCTTAGGCTATACTGACTGGGCTTCGCAGAAGCTGGCAGAGTCACACCTGAGCATCGATGTCAGCCAGCGCAACCGGCTGCGGGCTGCGAAGCAGGTCACCGAGTTTGTGCTGCAGAATTCCAAGATAGGCCGGGTGTTTGGGCCCAGAACTTTAAAATCCATAAAACCCGTGGACGAGCCCGTTGTGTTGGTTGTGCTCGTTGCTTCTGAGTAACAGGCAAGGCTGGCCACTTGAGGCCTTATGTTCACCTTGGCCTGACAGGTGAGCTCTATGCCAACCGGCGGCTTGCAGAAGCTACACCGCTCTTCTACTTCCTGGGCTTCGGCGTGCCTGAGGAAATCGCACCCTTCCACCAGGAGTTGCGAACCATGTGGAAAATCTCCAGAACCTCCAGGCGGGGCCCGGTGTCCGGCAGAATGCAGATGAATATAGCCGATCGCCCAATAGCCGGCATGGCTGAGGTTTGCGGATGGCCTTCCCAAGGGAACTAAGTCTCTCAGCTGCGTCGAGCTGGGCTCCTTTCGCTGCAGCCGGCTTCGCAGCTTAGGGAGTGCCTGGCCCTCTGGCAGCAGGCCACCGCCGCCTCCACAGAGGACGTTTGCTTTGTGTGGCCGGATGGGCGTGCGGTTCAGCTGGAGCTTGCCTGGAGCTTGGTTGGGCTCGTCTGGCTTCCCTGAAATGATTGCCAGTTTGCATTTTCCGGCTTCTCTCTGCTGCGTGCCAAGCGTTTTGAGTAACACAACTCTGGAAGAGGGTGAAACAAGGATTGTCGACCTCTTGGGTGTCAGGAGCAGCTTGCCAGACAACTTTGCAAGTGCTCCGACTTGTGGGTGTGCGGCCAGCATGGACGCCCGTCTCAACTCAAGGTTCATTTGACCAGGCTTATATGTTTCTCCCGCGAGCGCTCGCTCACGATTTGGCTTTAATGGTGCCAAGGGGCTGAGAAGGACTTGCACTTGGTGCGCGTGACCTTGAAGGAGCCGCCCGTGAACCTCCAGGAAGCCGGTGCTGCCAACATTTCCTAAAGGAAATGCGATTTGATGATGAGTTGTGCGATTTGGGGCGAATATATAATATATATATATATACGTAAGACGTCCCGGTTGTGAAGATGCATGCCACCGGTTTTTCACCGCAGTTTCGGCTTGAGCTTGTGGGCGCACTCCCGTGAGGGAGTGTGCCGTTGTGGGCTGTGCTTAGCCCTTGAGCGGATCAAGCTCTTCTGTGGAGCCCCTGAGCGGACCGCTCTGCTCAGGGCCTTTGCAGTAGAGAAGGTTCGGGCCCTCCTGAAAAAGCTTCTGGATTTTGCAGAAGGCTCCGAAGGGGGGGGGGGTCGGGGGAGTGGGTCCGTACTCACTCCTGGTGGGGAGACCCTGTGGCTAGGGAGGTCCCCAGTGGTGAGGAGTTGGAGGAGGAGGAAAAAGAAGGAGGAGGAAAAGGAGGTGAGGAAAGGACCGCCGTCAAGGAGGAGCCGTCGAGTGAGGTGAGTGATAGCCGCGAAGAGGCGGAGCGGGTGAGAAAGGAGAAAGCGAGGAGGAGGAAAGAGAGAAAAGGAGGAAAGAAGGAGTCGTCTAGGAGAAAAGGAGTGAGCCGCGAGGAGAAAGATCGAGAGCAGAAGAGGGAGGAGAAAGGGTATCGCAAGAGGGCTTTGAGGTCGAGGTTGCTGCAGGAAGATACAAGGAGCGGAGAGATAGCCGAGGCAGAGATCAGAAGAGAGGAAGGAAAAAGAAGAGGAGGAGGTCCGCCAGTCCAGCTCGGGAGGAGAGTAAGGTAGTGGTTCAGGAGGAGGTGCCGGAGCCAGCAGTTGAGGTTCCTGAGATCGCTCGACCAGCGAGTTCACCCAGCGAGAGTGGGGTGGACGAAGGGTCCCGGATACTGGGTCGGGTTGATCCCCTGCACGGCCAACAACCCGGCTTTGCGCCCGGAGGGAGGTGGGGCAGGTTCGCGGAGCCCTCGGAGGGGAAAGAACAAGCGGAGAGAGAGCAGCAGCGGCAGTTCAGAGAGTGGCGTGAGAAAGGGAAAGGAGCTGGTAAAGGAGGAAGGGGGTGGCCAGGAAAAGGGAAGTAGATGGCCCTAAAGGTGATCAGGTGGAAGAGGGCGCGAAGTTCTGGAGACCAGCAGCAGCAGAGGAGAAAGGTGGGAGAAAGGTGAGGAGGTTTCTTTGGTGGCTCTGACACCGGGGCAGGCGTTGGTGGTGGGGCAGGGGAGCTACTGGCAGGCTCCCACACAGGTGATTGGAAGTGTCCGGCGTGTGGTGGAGGACTTTGTGGGTTTGGTCGGGCACTCCCAGTGAGGACCTTTTGAGGTGGTGCAGCGGGCGACGGGATCCTCTGGCTCGGCTTCACGTTTGCCCTGGAGATTGCGACGGGGTGGTGAGGCCCCGGAAAAACGGCGGGGCCGCGAGGAGGCCATGATGGAAAAATGAAAAAAGGAGAAGAAAAAGAATAAAAGGGAGAAGGTGTTTGAAGTTGCAGAGCAAGAAGGAGCTGAGCGCAGTTGTTGGAATGACAGGTCTCGATCCGGATGGAGCTGTGAGAGCAAAGATGAGAAAGCGGTTGAGAAGTCTTCGAGGAGATGGCAAGGCGGAGGACGGCAGCTCATCGGAGAAGGAGATAGAGGGAGACCGGGGAGTTTTCGAGGAGAGCCAGATTTGACCGACTAACCTTTTCTACTGACCTCGACGACCCTCACCACTGACCTGCGCCACTGATCTGGACCTTTACCTGAACCTCAAAGCATCCCAGCGCCGTGTTTCACTATATACGTTGATGTTTCACCCGAACCTTATCGAGAACCCCCACAACGTGACGGTGATGAGGCGTCCCGACGCAGGTCCCATGTCCGGCTCCAACTCGGCAGCACGCATGGCGCCCGGCGTGGACCAGCTGAGCGACTCCTACAACAGGATGGGCCTCAACGGTACCGACCCTATGGACCATCCTCGAGTGAGCCCAATTGAGCACAGCAGGCAGGCGTTTCAGCGCACAGGCAGGGGAAAAAGTCTAAATCAGCCATCGATTGCAAGATGAAGGCGCTTCCTCTTTCCTTTTCTTCGCCTTTTCCTTTTCTTCAGGTTTTTCTGTTCCGGTTTTGTCCCCCTAGCTTAGTGTGTGTGTGTGCGTGCCCCCCTCCTGTTCTTCGGTGTCCTTTTCTGTTCGTTTTTCGGAGTCGGGTGCCACCATCCTGAGCCTCTGCTTAGCCAGTAAGCATCACTGCGGATGGCACTCCTGATTAGGGCTGTGATGTCTGAACGCTGCCGAAACTCCAAGGTTCCTTGTTGGCGCATGGGATGCGTCTCTAGAGTGTTTAGTGTCTTCCATCAAGTGTGTGTGTGTGTGTGCGTCCGTGTCCGTGTCTGTGTCTGTGTCTGTGTCGTGTCTGTGTCTGTGTCTGTGTCTGTGTCCGTGTCCGTGTCTGTGTCTGTGTCTGTGTCTGTGTCTGTGTCTGTGTCTGTGTCTGCGTGTGTGTCTGGGTCTGGGTCTGGGTCTGGGTCTGGGTCTGTGTCTGTGTCTGTGTTTGTGTCTGTGTCTGTGTCTGGGTCTGGGTCCTGTGTCTGTGTCTGTGTCTGTGTCTGTGTGTGTGTGTCTGTCTGTGTGCGTGTCTCTGTCTGTGTCTGTGTCTGTCTGTCTGTCTGTCTGTCTGTCTGTCTGTCTGTCTGTCTGTCTGTCTGTCTGTCTGTCTGTCTGTCTGTCTGTCTGTCTGTCTGTCTGTCTGTCTGTCTGTCTGTCTGTCTGTCTGTCTGTCTGTCTGTCTGTTTGTGTGTGTGTGTGTCTGCTGCGTGTGTGTGTGTGTGTGTGTGTGTGTGTGTGTGTGTGTGTGCGTGTGTGTGTGTGTGTGTGTGTGTGTGTGTGTGTGTGTGTGTGTGTGTGTGTGTGTGTGTGTCTGTGTCTGTGTCTGTGTCTGTGTCTGTGTCTGTGTCTGTGTCTGTGTCTGTGTCTGTGTCTGTGTCTGTGTCTGTGTCTGTGTCTGTGTCTGTGTCTGTGTCTGTGTCTGTGTCTGTGTCTGTGTCTGTGTCTGTGTCTGTGTCTGTGTCTGTGTCTGTGTCTGTGTCTGTGTCTGTGTCTGTGTCTGTGTCTGTGTCTGTGTCGTGTGTGTCTGGGTCTGGGTCTGGGTCTGGGTCTGGGTCTGTGTCTGTGTCTGTGTTTGTGTCTGTGTCTGTGTCTGGGTCTGGGTCCTGTGTCTGTGTCTGTGTCTGTGTCTGTGTGTGTGTGTGTCTGTCTGTGTGCGTGTCTCTGTGTGTGTGTCTGTCTGTCTGTCTGTCTGTCTGTCTGTCTGTCTGTCTGTCTGTCTGTCTGTCTGTCTGTCTGTCTGTCTGTCTGTTTGTGTGTGTGTGTGTCTGTGTGTGTGTGTGTCAGTGTGTCAGTGTGTCTGCGTGTCTGTGTGTGAGTGTGTCTGCATGGCATCACCGGGCCACCAGTTTGGAGGACTTGGACTTGGAGGGCCTGGTGCAGCTAAAAGGCGTGCGCGTTTTGGAGTTCGAATCTTGCGAGTGGCTGCGAGCAGGACCTGGGGTTTTGAATTCTCGCCTGTCGCAAGCAACAGATGCTCCTTGAAGGATCCTTCAAGGTGGTGGCAAGTGTGTTCCCCAACGTGCGGACTGTCCGTTTTATTTCGGCGCAGGACCAGCGACAGTTTGGTAGACATGCACAGGCACAAAAACCTCAGTCGCTTTGATTGCGAGTGAGCTTTGAGCCAGGATCTACCAGATTGGGATCCTATTGCGCTGCCGGCTTGGGCTGCTGGCATCTTTGGACTAGAGCCTCTGGCATGCAAACAGCTTAGACGTAGCAGACGCAGACGGGGCAACTGCGCCAAAGCTCGACAAATGCCCCACCGTGACTTGCACGGCGAGGAACTTTGCATTTCATGATGGGACGAACTGACTACTGACTTCCTCAGATACATGTGCGGATTTTTTGGGTTGGTTTTGCAGAATGGTGGGTGGTTGCTGCGCCTCGCTGGCAGTTATTGGTGCCTTGGGACAAATCTGGTTTGTCGGGTCTACCGATTCACCGTGCAGCTATTATTCAGGACATTGAAGTGGTGGGGCCCGCCGTGCCCAGCTGGTTTTGTGGCTTCACGGGCATCCGGAACCTTCACGTGAGCCCCCACCTCGTGAGCAAGGCGTGGGTGGAGCTGCTTCAGGATATATAAGCAGGCTGTAGAAGCCACATCCTGTCCTTCAACATGCTGAGTCATTTCTTCGGGTTCAGTCGTCCAAGGGGTGAGGCTTCGTTAAACCGCGTCTAGGCAATGGGAGGGCGAAACGCTCATCGCTGTTGCAGGAGGACAGGGCAGTGAAAAGCTTACCAGCCTGCCTTGGAGCGATGTCACAGCTCCTACATGTGAACGTGGTCTGGGCCTGAGTTTGCCCAAATCTGAGTGCTTAGGGTTTAGGGTCAGCCTGCAGCTTGTCAGTGGGGTTGAATGCGGAAGTGTGATCTTATAGAGCCACGCCGTGTGTGAGGTTGGCTGCAACCTCACAGGACCGGGGTTTGCCCAATTCACCGGGTATATTTAGGCTCTTTTTTGGAAAAATAGCAGGTTGGCCTGATATCGAGTCATTGCTGTCATTGCAATCATGGGTTTGCATGACTTGAGCATTGCGCATTGGAGATATTTTAATGTAGATCGCCTGCTGACAGAGATGGCCGTTTGCGTGGCTGAATGGTGGTTCCGGGGTGGCTTGATTTTCTGAGAGATTTGTATGATTTGAGGGACATCTACAGTGTCAGGGCCATTCCACTTGTGGCCTTGGATGCCGTCCTTTCCAACTGAAAGCTGTCCAAGGACCTGAATCCATGCCTCCGGAGCTTGGCAATCTCACGGGCCTCCGGATGTTCGAGGCCGCTTGGCTGCCGTGCATTGGAGCCCTGGAGCGCTGGAGCTCATCCACGCGCCAGGCTTTTGAGAATGGCAAGCTCGGCCACGATGAAGAAGAGCATGCATGCCCAGGACAGACGCTTTTGAGTTGTATTCCCGGGGAAGGCCGGAATGGAACATGCGTTTGGCGCAATTCCTTTGTGCGGCAAACAACTAGCCCAAACATGTCTTGCATGGACGATCGACAGTTCTCATGCCGCGTGGCACTGTCAAGCACTTTCAGGGAGCGCTAGCTTAAAAGTCCGTTTCGCCTCAACAGCGTGGATTGTTTGAATCATTTGCCCAAGCGGCGCTCACCGATTTCGGTGTTGGGTGCTGGAGACTTGATCATGCAGAAATTCACTGTCGATGAGAACCCACAGCCGAACTCGGAGCTCTCAAACTTTTGCATAGGCAAGGACCAGACAATTATTGGGTGTGAATGCTCGGGTGTGTTTTTGGACTATCTAGTCAATTGACACGGGACGTATTGGGCAGTTCCAGCAAACAGAGCATGGCTTCGGTTGCCCGGTCTTGCTCATCTTTTTCAATTTGGGGCGGCAGTTTGTGAGGCGACTGGGTGCCAGACCGCAGCCGCTGTGTGCCTGGCTATGTGGCACGCGCAGATGGAACGCCCCCAGTGTGGCGCTGCCCAGTCCACGGCTGGAACATCCGCCTGGATGACATGTCTCTGCCTTGGTGGAGGCGCGGCTTTGGTGAAGGGTCGGAGTGCTTGTATGGGCAGGCTTTATCAAAGCTTTGAATCTGCCCAACCGTGGAGTCACATTTAATACAGTCCATTGCGCTGAGCAGTGCCCCAGGTGTTTCTGCTGCGCGTATGTGCGCGTCATTAGGTGGCGCTCCCTTGAGAAGATGCACTTGGATGCCAACTTTATCCATGGCTGCTCGCTTTGTGCATGAAGCTGGGTGAGTAACGGCATGTGCTCATTATGCCGGTTTGGGGTTTGGGCACGCTATCAGCACGAACAGTGACAGAAATTGCATCCGTTGACGCCCAAAGATCCCAAAGTCTGATGTCCACGCAGTTGGCGAACCCGAGGTGGGATCCCGGAGGACTTGCCGCAGCACTGGCCGCATTTGCGCCCCTCGGCGAGAATGTCCCGCTGCGAGTTACTCTTGGATCTCTTGGCATCGCCTGTGCTGAGTGAGGCTCACTGGACCTTCATGACATGAATCTGACGGGCCCGCTGCCAATGTCCCTTACGCAGCTGGAGAACCTGACCCAGCTGCAGGCAAGTTTGGGCGGAGAGCAGCGGCAAGGCTTTTAGTTGGCCAGACTTGAACTTTTGGAAGTGGAAGAAAGCGCCATGATTTGCCAGGTCCAGCTAAACGATTTGCACTGCTCTGATGGTGCCGACGTTGTGGCGGAACTCCTGATGAAGCCCAAAATGCGAACTCTCTCCATGGATGCGAATCCAAAGCTTTGCGGGCGCCGGGGACGCCAAAAACATCGGGTAGTTGGGTCCACTATTTGCCAACGGTCTCGCTTGGGTCTTTGACGTTCTTCTTTCTGTTTGGATTCGTCCTTCGTGTGCCGGCGCAGTGCCACATCCAGGTTGCGCAATGCTATCCCCAGGTATCAAACAGCAAGACTTTGCTTGGGCAAGGCTGACTTGCTTGCTGGTTGCAATCCTGTCATCAAGTCGCAGCCTAGGTGTGTGCCCAAAGTCGTCCGACCGCACCTGCGCCTGCAAGTGGGCGAAACTTCCATCAAAGTGGGCTGTGATGCAGAGCTTTGACATGGGAGACACGCCGCTCATCGCATCTCGTCGCGGGCCGGTCGTCGCAGCTCCGGATGGCGGTGGCGCAGTCGGAGGAGTGCTGCCAAAGCTAGCAGCTACAACAAAGCGCCGGCCCATGGGTTTCTCCATGCTGTACATATAGCTGGCTATGCATGTCACATGCAGCTTGGATTAGGCGAAGAAAGCAAGTGTCAACATTTGGCGGCTATGTGGCAACTGCCAAGAAATTCGAAGCCCAGAGGCGTTTAGCCAGGATAGAGAACGAATATGGCAAGCTGATGGGCAGTTTGGTTCGGGGCTCATGCGGCTGGTGGAACTTTGTTCTGCATGCCCTGTTGCCCTTGGCCATGGAGACCGCGCAGTTTTGGCCCAAGATCATGTCATCATGAGACGTGCCCGCCTTTGTGCCTGTGTCGTTTGCGCCGTGCTGGGAGTGCAATTGGGTCCATGGCTCTTTGCAGCGCCAGCGCAGGGCCACCCGGCCCGATTCTGGTTTTGAAAGGGGGGGCATGTGCCCCTTTGGTAAGTGAGGGCTTGAACAATTGGCGCTTGCCAGGCTACTTCCCAGGCGTTGACCTGGAGCCGGACGCGGCGCCGAGCCGGGCTCACCTGCTGCAGAGGCTCCAGGAAGCGGAGATCGAGGAAGGCGTGGAGGAGCACACGGCGGAGGTGGCGCTGCTGCGCGAGCAGACGGCTTTGCTGGCCCAGGAGCTCCGGCTGCTTCGGGAGCTCCTGGCCGATGGGGCCCTGGCCAGCGCGCTGGCGGACGCCGCGGCACCAGCGGCACCAGCGGCACCGACGGTGGAGATGCCCGCGGAGTCGCCGGCTCCGAGGCCGGAGGCTGCGGGGCTGGCGGCTGAGGACCTGGCGATGGCCCAGCTGCTGAGTTCTGGCCCGGGCTTCCGGCACCCCGAGGCGCTGCAGGCGTTGTCGCACCTCTCCAAGCGGGTGGTGGAGCGGCGCGTTGCCGGAGAGCTCCCACTGGGACAGGTTCCAGAGCTCAGCTGAGGTTCCAAAAAACGGAGGCACCACGGACAGCAGATATCAATCAAGAACCGTGCAAGAGATGCATGTGGGAGTCAGTGGGTTCTGTTGGCAGTTGCCCGCGTCACTGGCTCGATGATACTTCAGCTTTCCAGAGGGACTTTCGTATGAAGAGTCGTTGGCAGCTTTCTCAACTCTTTTGCAGGGACACCACGCTTTGTTCCATGTATGAAAACATCTCTTTGAGGCACTTCCTATTTCTGCATGAGTGCCTTGATTTTGACTCAGCACAGTACCGAGCCGCGTCCATAGAACCGTATCATGATCATCATTTCGCGGACGCGATGGCTAATCTGCCTTTCGTGAGATGACTGCCTCGCAAGATGAGATCGAGCAGTTTGTCGACCGGAGCTTAGCAGAATGACGCGCCAAAAGCTGTGTCGAAACCACATTGGTGGTCAACGGGTTGGCAACCACTGGCAAGACCTTAGCACTTGTTTGCGATCAATGGCCAGGCTGTGCACAGCTGTCCATCTCATCTTTTTGCCGGCTTTTCTCAATCCAGGTAGACAACCACATCGACGAGAGAGCGGCGGCTTGTCTTGCAATTTAGCTTGATGGACCTGCCTAGCACGGGGCTGGGACGCGTCTGTTTCCACAGATTGCTGAAACTTCCAACTTCCAGGCTCAGCATTGGATTTGCATGGGTGAGTTTTGCACTTTGCCTTTTGCCACCTTCCCTGGCCCGTTTATCCAGCAAACACGTGGCTGCTCAATGGTCCAATTGGGAACCCTGGATAAACTGCTTGATCAGGCGTGTCCCCTGGTGCCGACGTGTGCCGACGTGTGCCGACGGTGACAGGTTTGACGGGGTTTGATCCGATAGGCGGGGCTGCTGCGGAGCGCCCCCGACTACGTGCGGCGCTTGGTGCTGGAGCAGGGCTCCCTGGTGGGCTGCCGGGACCCCTCCGCCAGCTGCGTGGGGCGCATCCGAAAGGCGCGGCTCGCATTTAGCTTAACTAACTTACTCTTACCGGTACACGCACACACACACACATATATATATGTATACATAGACATATGTATATACTTACTTTGCATGATCTCTATGGTTACCAGTAGTTGGTGCAGTGTGGTGGGGCGGGGTGGCAGCCTCGGTCTTTCATGCGAAGCTGGATTATTCGCAGAAAGTCGGCGGCTAAACAGTGTTGAGCCGAAGACCGAAACCCTAAACCCGGCTGACCGGGTGAGAGGCAGGTTGATAAGAAATAGGTGCAAACAGATGGATTGATGGAGGGCACCTTGTGCCATGGCCTTCCCGTGTTTAACCATTCAGGCGCAGCCTCCCGGCGCGCACCCCGATGTGGAGCAGTTTGTCAGTGTCTTGGCAGTCGTGGCAGTCTTGGCTTGAGCTGGCCACGGTCCTTGTGAAGCTCCGAGCCAGAAAGCATGTTGGATAGAAGCACGCCCTCAGCTTGGGAGTCTTTGCCGGGCATTTGCAAACAATAGCTTTTCTGCACGGAATCCTTGCACGCATTTTGTTTTTTTTGAGGATATTGAGATTCTTGAGATTCTTTTGTTTTCATCGACCTGTCAATGAATGGCAGTGGGTGAGGTGAGAATAACCTCCAGCCGCGGGCGGCCAACGCGCTGCGGGCGGCGTCCACGCAAGCTCAGCAGTACGTCCTGGACCAGGACAGGGATGACCGGATTGGATTTGATATGGGCAGCACGCGTCCTCAACGTGGGTAGATGTCAACTCCACTGCAACCCCAATGCCATTGACTCATCACATGATTGGGCATGTGCTGCGGGGTTGCTTGTTTGGGCATACGCGTCGTGGTCTAAGGCAAAAGCCATACCCTGCCACACCCATATTTGTAGCTGGAAAGGGTTCAGAGGCCAGAGAGCGCACGCCACATAATAATATAGTCAGCCTGCCGCCCTCTCACTTTGTCTCACCCTGAGCTCCACGCGACAGGGCAGCCTGCAGACTTGCCGAGATCCCAATGCCGGCTGCATGGGTCGCTTAAAGCGTGCTCAGGCAAGACCCTCGAATAGTTGCCATGGCATATTGCTGCGGCTGGGGTGCTTTGCACGTTCAGATTCTCACAAAGCTTTGAGGAGATGGTTTTGGTGTGCGCCAGGCTGGCGAGTCCGCTCCTCCTCTTCTATTCATTCCGCCAAGCAGAGATGAAGCTGGGCATGCCACTGGCGAGTCAGTCTGACGAACACACGTTTTGGTTTGCCCAGTTCATGCGGCTTTCATGGCTTCAGCGATGATGGAGGAGAGGGTGTGCGGCAACTGCACATCCCATACGCATGCCAACCATGCCCTGCCAGAATTCGCCTAGGAAGTGGAGGCTTTCATTGAAGCCAATGAGCTCAACGAGAGAGCGGCGGATGCGCTGCGAGGCTTGGGTGGGTGGTGGTTTGGCAGCATGGGGTCAAAGTGCAATCGCAAAGCCTCGGGCTAACTTGCGCTATGCGGATCGCACCCACCGATCAATACAGGTCAACGGCATGGGGTGCAGGGCGCATGAGAGGCTTAAGGATTTTGCTTGCCACAGCCCGTAGCATGGGCATTTCCCTGTCGCTTGAAGGTGCGCCGCCTGCCGTTCAACGGCAAGTGATTGACCAGGCAGGCGAAAGTTTGGTTTGACGGTTTGAGTGAATGCTCAAGGCTTCCTTCTCAAGGCCTCCTGTGGTCGTTGCGGTTGTGGTTCAGGGCAGCCTCCTCAGCTGCAGGGAGCCGAGTGCCGGATGCAGCCTGGCATGCAATCATTTCATGAGCTATGCCTGCAAACCCGGGTTCCCTATGAGTGTTTTTTACGCGTTTCGTTTTCCAATGATTTTCTGCATCTTGTGACGCATGTCTGCTGGAGGGCCAGGCTGCAGTTTGTTTCTTGAGCATTAGCTAAGGCATTGGGCGCATCGGAAAAGCTCACAAGCAGCTGGATCCTGCTCTTCTTGTGCGCCGTGCTTGTATTGGCAGAAAGCATCAGCTTGCAGAATGCTTGTTGCTGGCCCTTCTGTTGTAGCCAGCCCGGGCCCTGCAGGCCATACCCCACACTCAAGGGCCATCCGCCGAAGAAGTGGAAGAATTCATTCTAGCAGCTTGGTGTGAAGTGCGTGGGAGCAGGTTTGAGCTTGATTGGACAGAGCGCTTGGTCTGAGTTTGGCCTTCATGGTTGCTGCACCAAGACTTGTCCCATCCCTTGATCACATCCGCTTGACATGTGCTTAGAGGCGGCCAGAAGTGACAGCCCCCCAACCAAACTTTTGGTCGGAGCCATTGAGGAGAACGGCTTGGATGACCGCGCCGCTGTGGCTTTGAGGAGCGCAGTGCAGTGGGTGCAGCGGCAGGTCTTGGACCAGGTGGGGAGTGGCGATGTAAGTTGAGCATTGGAGGTTGAGCTCAAATTACACTCCCTCCTCTCATATATCTTCTGGCGATGGGCCTTCAAGAGGCAGCTATGCTATGTTTGTGGGGTTCAGGGTAGCTGCGGCTCAGGGCAGCCTGCGAAGCTGCAGAGATCCAAACGCTGGACTTATGGGTCGCAGCCTGGCAGACAGGATGATAAGGCATGGACCACGGCTTGTTGGTACTGGTAGTACTGCACTGGTGCGCCAGCCAAATTCCCTGGCAGAGTGGAATCCGGTTCTGGCCATTTTACTCATTCTGCAGCTCAGGCCTCAACCGGGCGCAAATTGCACCACAGCAGTTGCAAGCCACCTGCTCGCATGCAAGCGAGCCCTTTGAAAGCTAGGCAGGCTTTTCTGTTCTGATTGCATGCTATCATTTGCTGCCCAGTCATGGGCCCATCATGAAATGGCAGCTCCCGTCCATTCCTTCGTTTAGATAAGGCCCTCATGCCGGCAGCCAACACGCCGGCAGTCCACACACCCTGCCTGCCTGCAAGCTCTGCTGCAGAGCCCTTGCTCAGATGAATGTTACTTCTGCAATAAGAATGGCGATTGCCACTTGCTCTTTTGCGGCTCGTGAATCTGCCTCTCAGCTGAGGAGGTCGAAGCGTTCATTTGGGAAAACGGCCTGAATGACGCCCAGCGGCATTGGGGGTTTCGACCACTTCGCCTGCCGTGTCGGTTGAAGTGGTCGGCATTTGGCTTGGCATGCCACCGATGCAGCATGTGTGCTCGGATGAGCGGCACGGGCCAAGCACACGTTTGAGCCTACAGAGATGCATTGGCACCAGCAACTGCAGCATGGCAACTAGGGCGACCGTGTGCTTCGCTGTCAGTGGCTGATATGCATGCACTTTCGCGCATGCTTTGTCTTCTCATTGCGAGGAACGAGCGGCCGATGCCCTGCGCAGTGTCGGCCCTGCAGTTCAGCGAAAGGCTGGGTACGCGAGCCAGACCCAATCGGGCAACTGGCAACTGGGGCGAGTCACACATGTTGTAGGGATGTTCATCCCGAAGAGGCGCCATCTTTGCGCTGTTTTGATCTTGGTCTGGCGGGTGCATACCTTTGTATGTTTGTATGCAATGCAATGCAATACCATGCCATGCCATGCCATGCAATGCAACACAGTGCAATGCAATGCAGCAAATTTGATGTAATGCAATGGAATAAAATGTAGTTTAGTGTAGTGCATGAAATGCAATGCAATGTAAGGCAATGCAATGCAATGCAACGCAATGCAATGCAATGCAACGCAATGCAATGCAACGCGTTGCGATGCGCTGCCATGTAACACAATGTAATGTATGCACACACGAATGAACACACACACGCATACACACACACACACATGCGTGACATGTGTGGGTTGCTTGCCTCACTGCCTTCCGCTTCTTTCAGGTTAGTGAGATGGCTTGGCAAAGGAGTGAAGTTGGCTGCGATGCACTGCAGGTGTTGGAGCAAGGGAGCCTGCAAGGCACGCGTGAGCCCAGTGCGGCTTGCATCGGCCGTATTGGGAAGCTGCAGCTCCTTGTCTCGAACTTTATTGGCATGAGTCATGAGTCACAATCAAGCAAGGCATCCGGTGCGGAGGCACCACAAGGTTGCATTTTGGACAGCCCAGGGGCGCTTTGCAGAACATTTTGCCGTGGCTGGGGCTTTGGAGATGCACTTGAGTGAGCGTGCCTTAGGAAGTCCTCGGCCGAGCCGGGCCGCTGGCAGGCCGGAATCGGAAGAGAGACTGCTGAGACACGGAACCTTGGGAAGGAGCCCTTCCGTGGAGCGGAGAATGAAGTGGAACAGTTCATTCTGGACAATGTGCCTTGGGTGCAGGTGCCATCAAGCCCGAATGTGCCTGCACCGGATATCTCTCAAGACATAGAGTGAGATAGCCGCTAGCGCTTGATCCGGTTGTTCCGAATGGGCAGCGCCAGCTGCCATCCAAGGCACTTGACCAGAGTTCTTCTGCCATCCTTCGTTCTTGTTCTCCGGATGTGCAACAACTAGATGCTCGTCGCAAGAGATAGCTGCAGCCAGATTTGCATGAGCTGCATGCGGCTGGAAGCCAGTCTTGCAGATTGCAAGGTGGCAGCCACGAGGGCAGGGAAACATTCAATACCTGCTTTAGTAGAGCGTTAATTTTGCAAAATATTCTTTCCCCTATCAATAAATGCAAACTACTAGGAAAACACTCTTTTTCCAGACCGCCGAATCTACAAGACTACTCTTGGAATGGGCCAATTCTATACCAAACCTCAAAAGCAGGCGACCCTCGAGGCCCCGACAATCACTTCCCCCTAGGAATAAGCACCCCGCCCAATTAAGGGCACAAGGAGCTTGAGTCCTAGAGTACCCCCCAATACGACTGGGGCCGCGGTTGGCAAGCAATCATGTAAGTGTCCTGTGTATGGCGGGACTGGCCCGCTCGCAGAAACGGGACCGTCAAACCGCAAGCTCGCCGAGCTGTGCAGGGTGCCCCAAGCCCAGGTCCTGGAGCAGGGAAGCCTGGCCAGCTGCCGAGAGCCCAGCGCGGGCTGCGCCTTGGACACAACTTGACATGGGATTCTCAGCACTCAGGGACCATTCGAGCTGGCTGAATCCACATTTGTCCATGTGCCGAGGCGTTGGCCGCATCCGCAGGGCTGAGGCAGCACTGGGCCGAGCACCTGCCGGACACTTTGTCCAGAGCATCTCAGTTGCAGGCGCTTCAGAGCGTTGTTCCCTCTTGAAAATTGAAAGTACTGGGAGAGGGGCACTGTTCTTGAAAATGCGCACCGCGCCGCATGCGCGGAAGCATGCGCGGAAGCATGCGCGGAAGCATGCGCGGAAGCATGCACGGAAGCATGCACGGAAGCATGCGGACGATTTTTGTTGAAGGCTTTCTTTCTCAGTTTGTGAACAGCCCGATTTGTGGTAAAACATGTCACGGGAGCATGCGGAAGCAAACCATACAAACATGTACCGCGGAAGCCCGCTGAAGGACTGGCCCGCGACAGATGCGGAAGGGTTCGCGGAAGCTTGAGACATGTCCAATCAAGTTTGAGGGAATAACCACCAACTTTCCGCTGGATCTCTCGTTGGTTTGGACTTGGTATGTCCCCCCTCACCTGGTTTCCATTGGCACGTTCATGGGCAGATTGGCACGTTCATGGGCAGATTGCGTGCGCTGCCTGCTTTCTTGAGGCCCACCTTCTGGTCACTTGATGGGCGGTGGTCACTTGGCTCAGTTTACTTCCAGCAGGTTCTCCGTTCCGTGTTCCGCCATAGTCTGCGTGCAAGGGATCGCAGAATGGGCACCATCCGAAGCACAGAAGCTTGAAGCAGGTTTCTTTGATTGCAAAGCGGCTGTGTTCAACTTAATGAGTTTCCACATGGCATCCCAGAGGTCTGGAAAGTTTCAGTCGAGTTTTGCACCTGGAACTTCAAAATGTGTGCAGCTGCTAGGTAGCGGCCACGAAGCCTGGCCAGACGTTGAAACCTTCATCGTGCAGAATCAACTCAATGAACGAGCTGCCGACGCACTGCGCCACCAAGCTGGCACAAGGGTTTGCTTTTGCCGCATGCGTCATGGCAGGCTGATTGTTTGTGGCGAGGGTGGTCTGGTTCGGTCGAGGATGTGGCCACATATCTCAATCCAAGGAGAAGTGGACCCCGAGATTCAGATGCAGGCCGGTGTCACCCTCATGCAAGTGACATATTCCAAGGGGGTTTCCCCTTTAGACTGAAAGGTGTTTCCTTGGTTCTTGCAGTATTTTGGACGTTCCTTCTTCAAGACCAAGCAGGCTCAAGCGGCCGGCAGGTCATCTCACAGGGGAGCCTGGCCAGCTGCCGCGAGCCCAGTGCAGGACTGGCCGGGACATTGGGTGCATGGTGTTGCGCCATTATACCGTGTGTCAGAATCTTTGTGTTATTGCTCTTGTCTCGTTAGGTCATATGAATATGCCGAATATGCTCGCATCATTTTGTGGCATGGCACGTTATGCTTGCAACCCAGCAGCTCTTGGATCCATTCTCATGCTGGGAGTTCAGCTGGATGTGATGTTTCAGCAAGGGAATGCAGGGCATGCACCGCTAGCACGCAGGATGCATTGGTCGCATCGCCAAAGCTCAATCGGTCCAGAAGTTTGCACCCACGCAGGTTCCCAGGATGTGGCTGGCCTCAGATAGGGCTTGTCCCAAGCTCCAATGGGCAGAGTGTGCCCATATTTGCGCGCATGATCCGCGCTCTGCGTGCTAACTTGTGCCGGAGTTTCGCAAGATTGCTCATGGGCCCCGCGTGCCAATGATCCAAGGCCGATCACCTCGGTTCAAGAGGTCCAGCTCAATCATGAAGCTGTTGAGCAGTGCCATGGCACGAAGGAAAGGTAACGCGAGGTAGCCAGCGCTTGGGAGGCGAGCTTGGGCATTTTATCAAACAAAACTTGTTGCCGATCAGCTCTGGGCACCGCAGCACTAGTTCCCCCAGGTTCATAGTGGAGAATGGACTCAACGAGCGCGCTGCGGATGCGCTGCGCACTGTGCCTCCCTTTGTCCAAGAGCAGGCCGGGTTTACGGTTGTGAGACTGTACTCGGCATGTGCTTGGACCCCCGTATTACCCTCCTTATCCTTTTCCTCCTCCTCCGTGCGGCCATGACAGCCGGGCAGACCTTCCGGCCACATAGTAGAAAGGCGCACATCATCCAACTCGCATCCTTTGGCTGATAAAATTACGTTATGTATAAAGTCGGGCTTAAGCTTTCAGACATGTACTCCAGCATTGCGTGCTGCACTGAAGCATGGACATTGCCTTTTACTTGTGCGGTGGGCAGCGCAAGTAAGTTGAGAGAGGATCGCCCGAAGAAGGTATTTTCCTCATTTGCAGGCACATTGACACATTGAACATGGACATTTGGTGAACGCGGAGGCCTTGCAGAGCAGGACCTTTCGAGAGCATGTGGCTTGTTCTTGGTCCCTTTGTGGGAGGGTTGTGCAATCGTGTGGCCAGAGGGCTAAAACCTGAGCCGTCCATTGAAAGCTTAACTTGATACTACGTGGGCATCCAGCGGCAACCACCGGTCTGCACGACGTGATTCTCAAGCTATTCAGCAGTCAACTCAGAATTGAGATTTTGTGCATGCAGCTGCTGGGAGACTGTCCCAGCCCCTCATGAAGCGCAAGATGTGTGTAGGCTTGCAGTAGCAGGATTCCTTCCTACCATCCCTGCATGAGATTTATTTCACCTCGGGCCAGTCCAGCAGCCATGCTGCAACCCGAGGTCTTGGAACAGGGCCCGCTCCAGGGCTGCAGAGAGCCCAGTGCCAGCTGCATCGGCCGCATTGCCAAGGCGCAGCGCCCCGGCCACAAGTGACACCTTTTGTCTTGTTGCGGGACGGGGATGGGGGCCGGTTGTTGGTTTGTGAATGTTTTGGAGAGCTTTGTGTCAAAGTCAGTTTGGGTTGCTGCTTATTGAGCATCGCCTCGGTTGTGGTGTTACGGTAATGTGACATGTGCTGGTCTTGCCCGGAATGGGCCTAGAGTGCGCCTAACTGAAGCTATCGCAGCCGAGGAGGGGAACTGTGGTGGGTCAGAGCTTCCATGCGCCCACGGCGGATGAGCTCACAGCCTTTGTGCAGGAGAACGTCCTGAGCTGGGGCCTTGGCAGCGGCAAAGCTTACAGGTTGCTGGTTGCCTGAAAGCATGCACGGCATTCCAGATTCTCACGGCACAGCCTCCGGAGTCGCAAAGTACTTGGATTGCCGCCAAGGTGAGCGCGCATCTGCTGCACTGAATGAGGCGCTGCCTATCATCCAGCGGGCTGTCCTAGACCAGGCCGGTCGACGTGGAAGAGTGCAAGGGGTGTCAAGCCTCAGCACCTCGAAATGCACCGTTCCAAGAACCATCGCAAGCTGCCTTGTCTCTTCGCGTGAGGGGTTGCTTGGAAGGGCAGCTTACGCGGATGCCGAGAGCCGAGCGCTGGCTGCATGGGCCGCATCAAGAAGGCCTGACAAGATCCACCGAATATTATTGCGGCGGGGCAGATGGCTGGGCAGAGGTGCCAGAAGCTTTAGATGTTGAGGATTGATCCTTGTTAATTATGGCACACCTCTCCGCTGCTTCCAGGCAACGCTGGTCCTGCGCTCAGTGTCTAGCGGAAGTGGCTGGCATCCAAAGCAATGAGGAGTGAGCCTGCTTTGATATCTTGAACGCATGTGAGGCTATGAGGGACGGAACGCTGCAAGCAGATGTCCAGAGCAGCATGAGAGGCAGGAGCATGACCAAGCCTTTGGTCCAAGCGATTATGTTTGCCGCTAATGGAGGCTTACCACAGGGCAACATCTCAGTCTCCATAATCGCGGATGGGAGAGGTAGCGGGCGAGGGATCAAAAAAGAACTTTTTAGGCATCAAAAAAAACATATTCCTGAAGATCAAAAAAAAGGGGTCAAAACAAACTTCTTCTCTTAGATTTCCCATTAAAAAGAAAACTCAGAGGATCAAAAAAAACTTGTTAATCAACCAAGAACTTCTTCATTTCGTGGCATGCGCAGCACTTTCGCAAGGTACGGTCTAGATTTCGCGGCAGGCGCAGCACTTTCGCAAGGTGAGGTACAGACTTCGTGGCAGGCACAGTACTTTCGCAAGGTCAGGTGCGGGGGGCGGCAGGCCCCCCCCATGATGTTCGAAGAAGTGATGATTCAACAAAGGGTGATGATAGGCATCGAATCAAAACTTCTTCATTTCGTGGCATGCGCAGCACTTTCGCAAGGTCAGGCACAGATTTCGTGGCAGGCGCAGCATTTCCCCAGGGCCAGGTACGCTAGCGCAGGGCGCGGTATAGATTTCGCGGCAGGCGCAGCACTTTCGCAAGGTGAGGTACGGACTTCGTGGCAGGCACAGTACTTTCGCAAGGCCAGGTGCACATTTGTGCGGCAGGCGCAGCACTTTCGCAAGGTACTGTACAGATTTCATGGCAGGCGCAGCACTTTCGCAAGGTCTGGCAGGTGCAGCACTTTCGCACCGCGGCAGGCGCAGCACTTTCGCAAGGTGCGATTACTTCGTGGCAGGCGCAGCACTTTCGCAGGGGGGTTGGGGGGGGCCGCCCCCCCCATGATGCTCGAAGATGTGATGATTCAGCAAGGGGTGCGTTAATCTCTGTCAACATTCCACAAACCAGCAGGGGGGTTGGGGGGGGGGCGGCAGCCCCCCCATGATGTTCGAAGAAGTGATGCTTCAACAAAGGGTGATGATGATCGAAGAATGTTCGAAGAAGCGGTGTCAACAAAGGGGGTTGATGATCGAAGAAGTGATGATTCAACAAAGGGCCCATTAAGCTCTGTAAACATTCTGAAAATCAGCGGGGGGGTTGGGGGGGGGGGGCTGCTACATATCAGCAGGGGTTGCGGGGGGCGGCAGGCTCCCCCAGGATGTTCGAAGAAGTGATGATTCAACAAAGGGTAATGATGGTCGAAGACGGGATGATTCAGCAAAGGGTGCGTTAATCACTGTAAACATTCTACAAATCAGCGGGGTGGGCGGTTCCTTCCTTCCTGCCTTCCTGCCTCCCTCCCTCCCTCCCTCCCTCTCTCCCTCCCTGCCTGCCCTTCTTCCTTCCTTGCCTTCCTTCCTTCCTTCCTTCCTGCCTCCCTGCCTCCCTCCCTCCCTCCCTCCCTCCCTCCCTCCCTCCCTCCCTCCCTCCCTCCCTGCCTGCCTGCCTGCCTGCCTGCCTGCCTGCCTGCCTGCCTGCCTGCCTGCCTGCCTGCCTGCCTGCCTGCCTGCCTGCCTGCCTGCCTGCCCTTCTTCCTTTCTTGCCTTCCTTCCTTCCTTCCTTTTGCTTGCTTGCTTGCTTGCTTCCTTCCTTCCTTCCTTCCTTCCTTCCTTCCTTCCTTCCTTCCTTCCTTCCTTCCTTCCTTCCTTCCTTCCTTCCTTCCTTCCTTCCTTCCTTCCTTCCTTCCTTCCTTCCTTCCTTCCTTCCTTCCCCCCATAGGAATGAGAAGAAGTTTTTTTGATCCCTAATACTAATATATATTTTTTGATCCCTAATAAGTTTTTTTGATGCCTATCCAGAGGTAGCCCACTTCCGCTTCCATGGCGCCGCTAGGCACAAAGCGGCCCTATGAGGCCGGAGAAAGCTGGAGGGTGAAATACGAGCTTGCCAAAGGTGCCATGGATTGTTTCAAGCTCCAGCGAGACGGTGTCATGCTTGCACCTTCCTCCGTCCTTCAGGGGTGTTGGATGTGCGTGTCAAGTCTCGTGCACGTCCGCGCTCTCAGTTTCAAGCAGCGCCGCAGGCCTGGCAAGCGAGCCAAGGCGGGCGGGATTTTGCCATATTTTGCAATGTTTTTGTTAAGGCATACGTTTGTAGATGAACATGGTAGCTTTTTGCGTAGATATAGCTATACAGGTGTGCTGGTTTCTGTATGAGCAGCAGGTTGCTTGTACCTTGATGACCCTGTTTCAATCTTCACCTCACCCCAAACCAGCCCAGACCAGCCCTAGACCAAGCACGAAACGAGCAAGAACCCCACTCTGGGCTATGCTCTCAGGTCGAAACTTACGAGCGGAGGTCGAGCGATTTGTGGCGGCTGCTGGGCTGATAGTATGTTTGAATCTACTTAAACATATATTTTGCTTTTTGCAGCCTTGAGCCTGCGGATGTTGCCCTTACCATAGCATGTGGCCTCACGCTGAGGAGCACTCCCTTAGCGAGCGGGCCGCCAGCATCCTGCGGGAGGAGCAGCCCGAGGTTCAAGACATGGTGCTGCAAGGCGAGGTCTGCCCAACATGGGCTGTCAGCCTTTTTTTCAGGAGTTTTGCCCGAAGACGGCTGGATGATTTGTTGTGCGGGGTTCGCGAAATATGTTTGCATGCAGTTTCGTGGAGGGCGTATGTTCATATGTTCAAGGGCCAAAGTCGTGCACCAGCAGAGTGCACCACTAGGGAATGATCCCTTAATTCATGGTCTACATGTGAGGTATCAAAGGCTATATGTGTGCCATATGGTTTGCAGCCATTTGGTGTACAGGGGTATGTGACACCAGTCCTTGAGATGCGCGTGCCTGTGCCAGGTGGCAGCCTCCATGGAACCCGCGCCCCTTGCACTTCTAAGTTAGTGCGTCACGGCCATGTGTGCACGGCCAGGCCATAAGGCCCTCAGATGGTATGTGGGGACTGGCATCGGGGTGGATGAAAGCGGCCCCTGCATTTAAGGACATGTCTGCCTCATGCGTGGGCCGAATCCGCAAAGCTTGGAGCTTAGCAGCAGCCGCACTGCAGCCTTTGCAGAATTTCGCGTTATGAGACATGCTGGCAGTTCAAAGTTTTGCCGATGCCAACGGCGCTGCTTCACCATGCTGAGCTTGATTCATGTATCGGCACTGAGGCCCAGCAGGAGTTGTCCGACAGGCACGGTGATTCGAGTGCATGGCTAGGCTTGCTCGCCAGGCCGCAACCAAAACACAATCCCGGAGAGATCTGGGAAGCGATCCGGTTCGGCCCTTCTCGAAATCAAAATCGTGCAGGCCGGCGAAGTGGAGCCGAGGCTCGCTGTCCGAGGCGCGAGCTTTCGCCGTTTTGCTTCAAGCCCTTTGCAGAGCGCCGGGGTCGCAGGCGGTTCGTATGGTGGGCAGCAGCATGGCCAGAGGAGGCTGGTTGACCGCAAGACGCACAACTCCAAGTAGTGACTCCAAGTAGTGCTGCACTTCGTCCAAGGCTTCGGGCAACAGTGGGGCTGAGAGCCAAGCTAGATAGAGTTGTAGAGCTACCGGCTGGGAAGCGGCAGGTCGCAGTAACAAAGGACAGCAGATTCGGCAGAAGATATTGTATGCGCTTGGCGTGGGCGGCACTATGTTTTCATCGCGGCACACTGGCATCCACCGAGCGGGGAGACATGCAGCAGCTATTCAGTGATTTGGGTACACCACGTCAAATCGGGCCTTTCAGGGCAATCAGTTTCTTTCAACCTTGTAGGCTCAACGGCCAAGTGCGCACCATCCGCACGCCAAGTGCTTGCAAGATCGAGCTTGGCCAGACGCCACCCAGATGACACGCACCTCGTAGCAGCGACAACGACACCGCCTTGTTTGCCCGGACTTGTTGCCATGGCTCGTCCCAAAGCCCCAGCCTTGGGCAGAAAAAGACGACGCCCGGATGAACTTGGCAAGCGTGTCCTTTCGTTTTGGCGCTCTGCCCAGGCACGGCGCGGCGCAGCTGCAGGCGGGCGCCCAGATGGTTTCGAATTATATACACGAATCGCTGTTCCTGAATGCTCAAGCTGCCCAACATGTCTTGGGTGCTTGGCTGACGCTCTTGGTGGAACGCATGGTGTAGCCCTTGTCATGCTTCAGGCTCTTTAGTTTTGCTGTGCATGGGCGCTGTGCGAACTGTTGCCCTGAGCTTAGCCAAGCTGCATCTCCGAAATCGCCACTGCCAGAGGGCTGCCCTGTTGTTGCCTTGTCAGGGCTCGGCTTGGTCAGCGACGGAGGCGCGGCCCTGTGGGGAAAGCATGCTGCCATGTGGCCATGCAAGACAGGTGAGTGGGCACACTAACGTGTTCTTTTAGCAAGTCGCCAGGCGTTTCCGCGCAGACAGGCCTGGCATTGCTGGTCTAAAAACGAAGCAGCAAGCCAATGACCTTGCACCACGGACTTCCAGTACTCACAGGCTTGCACTTGCATCCAAAGCCTTTTGGAGGTCTTAGCGGGGACTGCAGTGGCTACTGCATCGGGCGCTGCCGCGGCTCGGGCCACAGCAATGCTGCAGGACATATTCCTGTATGACCTTCCTGGCAGCTCATACAGATTTCCACAGGGACAAGTGCCATGAGACACACTCTTTCACGCAGAATTCTTTGCGACAAGTTTGAATTGCTTCCGTCCTGCAGCTATTTTCGCACTTGGACGTAGTCCGCTCGACGGAGCGCAATGGCAACAGGCGGGACAACTGTTCAGAGTCAAATCATTGACCAGCTGACTTGCCGTGCGTGTTGCTTGGGTTCATGAGGCACGTTGTTAGATATGCGGGGCTTGGTCTTCTGGCAGGATGCAACGGCACTTCTTCCAAAAGGAAGCTGGAAGTCCTTGATCAAGATGCTTTCCTGCAGAAGCTTGAGCCTTGGAAGGGGAAACAGGCGGCCTAGCAGGAAGCATGTCGTGGCAAGCCCTCCTCAAGGTGCTATGTTTCTTCAAGCATGCGATTTGATTTATCGTGTTTTGACAGCAAGAGGTAAACAAAGAAGGCAGAAAAAAGGACGTGGTTTTGTGTGCAGTGTCACTGCTTAGGGCCAAGGCTTAGGGGTTTCTTGGCCAGGCGGGCGAGGCATTCACAACAGGTGCGTTTCCCTGTAGCGAAGTCACGCTGAGGTCCAAGGCTGCACGCCTGCGGCGAAGCCCTGAAGGTGCGGCGTTGTGGTCACATGGCCCCCCCGCAGGCCCCAGAGAAGACAGTGGAAAATCAAACCAGACTACGATGGTTGTTTGGGCGGGTCCTGCTTGGGGGGAGGGCTCCAGGTTGCCATTTGATGTAGGCGAGATTGCCACGCGCGGCTGGATAGAGTTTGGAAAGGTTGGGAGGTAGCACCGGCCATTGAAGTTTGTTTTACTGCCATTTTAAGGGGCCCCTGCCGATCCTTTGTCCAGGCCACCCGCTCGCTTGCGCAGGCCACTTCATCAAGGCAATGTACTCCTCGCTGGTCGACAGCATCATAACTGACCCCGAGATGATGGCCGGGTGCCCGAGATGGGGGGCTGGCAGCGCACGTCTCAGAGGGACAGGCTTGTCAGAAAGTAACTGTTGGGTTTGTGCCCTGCATGTCGTTTGGGTGCAGACCAAGGTGATACCTTTGGATGACCACTCCATCGTCAGGACAGCGGCATTAAACGCGAACCTGGGATTGTTTGCGGGGCAATGTGCCAAGAGTTTTTTGTTTCCCAGCACTTCCCTCACAGCATGGGGCTGTTGCCGTTGCAGAGCGCTCGCGCAGGGGCCATGCTGTCTTCGACACCTGCACGCTGGCAGATGGCAAAGTGTACAGGCGCAACATGCAAGGTTCGGCAACACGCAGCTCCCTCCCCCCCAAGAAACAATTAGTGTCATACGATTCTCCACCACTGCTTGTTGGACGTTTGCAGTGGTTTTTGGTGTGCAATGGTTTTCAAGGGTGGTTCAGAGGAAAAACAATCAAAAACGTGCTTGACAACTTGTTCAAAAGGGCGGGGCACCGTGGAAGAGAGGCCACCACAAGGATGGGCACCCATCGCAAAGGACCACTATGTATACATGAAAAGTGGAGGGAGAAGAGTAGTTGAATGAGGACAGGCCATGCTTGGAACGACTCTGGGTTGTGCAATTTATTGTGCTGCGAAAGGCTTGGCATCCATTTGGACCGTCTCTTCAAGTCAGCCAAGCTGGCAAAACTGAAGCTGCCGTTTGGTGACTCAGAGGAGACCGGGACATTTAAAGATGTCAGCAGATGTGCTGTTGTTGCCCATCTCCTGTCAATCCAAAAGTGGGCGGGTTGTGCGACAGGAGGAGAACCGATCAAGAATAACCGCATCCTGGATTAACTTGGTCTGGTGAAAGCATTGAAGTGAAGGAGGGCCCCATGCAAGAGTCGCAAGAGAAACAGCGACCGACCGTACCATCTAAGTTTCCATCGTGACTTGCTGGCCACCAATTCGTTGCTGTTATTGCAGGTTGCGCTAGCTTTGCTGCCTTGTGCCCAGACATTTCACTACACGGTGCAGCCACGTGATGTCTAAGGACATTGTTTGCCAGACCTGCGTCGCTAGCGGCCTCAAAGATGCAGGCGGGGCCATGCTAGTACCCATATTGCCATATCATGTCAAAGCTGTGGAGGCTCGTTGGGCTTACGTTGCCAGGTGTGCGATTCTTTCTCACTGCAGGGCCTGGCAACTTTGGCTTCACAACAGCAGGCGGGAAGGTGGCCACGCTGTGCTGAACACGGCACGTGGCCGCCATGAAACTACTTTCAGTGAAGAGCGGTCTGCTTGGACCATATGATTTCTGGATACTTGGGAGACAGACATGGCTCCCGCCCCTGTCAGACAAAATGTTCTGGGTAGCTGACATACGTCAGAATCAGTATGATTGAGATCGTATACAGTCTGCGCCACCTAGACCACGGGGCGCACAATTTGCGTGGCTCCCTCATGTGAGGCTGCGAGCCGGCGTTCTACGTGAGTGTGTGCCTTGATGCAAGTGTGCAACGTGCAATTATGCGGCACTGCCTGTGATGCCGCTTGAGCATCTTGGTTTGCCGGCAAGGGGCAGTACATGTAGTGTTGCAGCACCAACTGCTATAGTACCGTCTTAAATTGCAACACAACATGCACACTGGCTTCAGCAGTATGCTCATTTCTGAGCATAATATGGTGTGCAAATCGTGCGCAGGCTCACAGCAGAAAAGGTGGCTGAGGCCAAAGCAGCAGCCTTGGTCAAGACACAATCGTTTGTGAAAGCTTGCCATGCGCGGATAGCTGGCTGCTTCTTCGCGCAAGGGCTGTTTGAACGAGGAAGTGAGCAGGATGTGGGTGTTCTGTGCCGACAACATGTCGGCAGGTGACATGCGGTCAATCGCCCTGAAGCAACGCAACGGTCCTTCTTGGACCTGGGGCAATTGCCAATCACTTAGGGCATTGGGGAGGCGCTGGTGCCTGAGACCGAGGCGCGGCAGCTTGCGTCAGGGTGTGGCCGAGCCTTTGACAGCTTTGAGGTTCCATGCGGGGGGGGCCTTCTTTGTTGACCAAGCATCTCCCCAGCAAACCTTGGTTGGATGGCATAATCTTGGGGCTTGCGTTGTCCGTGCTCGGTGCGCCCAGATTATTCCAGAATTATTGTAAACGCTTCACGCTGCCCGCCTCAGCCAGCCCAGCATGCAGGGTTTGTTGCTCGAAAACGAGAAAGAGAGCTGGTCAAATGGCGGGCTGGACTGAAGTGGACTCGGCGGGGCTAGACATAATTGGGTTTTGGCTGGCTGGGCTGTACCAGGCAAGACAGGCTTGGACTCTGAACTGGACCCGCCTGACTCGCACAGCATTTGGGCTGGACTGGCTGCCCCAGTTGTTGCAGCCAGGATAGGCAAGCCTGGCCAGCAGGAGACATGCCTTTTGTGACTAAAGCAAGTTTTGCTAAAAAGAACATGGCAATTCTCTTTGGAAAGCGGGCCGAGCTCTCTTGGCCCCAAGGCGAATGCGAGGCCAATTAGTCGAGAACTGTTGATTGACGCAGCAGTGGCGTTGGCACGCATGGTTTCTGAGAGCTTTCTTTTGGTGAGGGGTCGCATGGCGCCAGGTACCCATGAAGCCAGCCCTGCTGGCCACCCTGAAGAGCAACAACTACCTCCTGAACTGCATGCTTGCCATGGCTGCGCAGGAGAGCAATGCTTGGCAAATGCATCAGCATGGGCACAGACCGATTGCAGCCCGATAGCGAGGCTGCCTGTCAGCTGGGCCCTTATGACTCATGACGGCTTGGCCCAGCAAGTGCATCAGGAGAGAGGTGGTCGCTTCGGCATCAACATACGCAACATAGCTGGCAATTGCATGCCTGTGGGTTGGGATCGGCAAGCAAAGCTGGCCCTACGTTGTTGTACGGCACCAGCCAGCTGGTTTGCGTGAAGTGAAACAACAGCTGAAACAACTTTGATGTGCAGGATGCGGACTAGTTAGTCAGGCGGCTATTGCAAGAGTAGAAAGTTGCCAATTGTCACTGGTAGGCATGAAAGCTCTCAAGCCACCTCTTACCTTGTCCAGGCACAGACGGCACGGTTGCAGAAGGCTGCGTGGCAAACTGCGGCATCGTCACCAAGGAGACTCTTGCCAAGGTAGTTGCCAGTGCGTCGACAATGGAAAGGTGTGAATGAATGGCGGCAGACACATTTGTTGATTTGTCAATATTTTTGTGGGCTTAGCCAGCGGGCCGCAAAGGCAAACATAGTGGTCCTGTTGCATCAGAAAAGGGATGTGGCGCAATGCCAACATGTGATAGAGCCAGAATTGATGTTTGCAGCTGGTGCGGGGTGAAGCGACAAGGGTGGCCCACCTGCTACAACACCCAAAAGCAGAAACACTACTTCTACTGTGAGTTGTGCTGGAGCGAGTATGATGCACTTCAGGGGACTGCAGGGTCCGAGTGTGTCGGTAGTTTCTGGCATGAACAGATTCTGAAGGCTGAGGCTGTTGCCGCAGAGCATGAGGATGATGAGGGAGGGCAAGTGTTGGAATTCATAAAGAAGGCATTTGACGAGATCGACTCCAAGCCCACGCAAGCTCCTGGCCAAAGTGGTGTGGCAGGTGACACAGAGAGTGAGGACAGTGAAGGTGAGGAGCGTGATGCAGTCGGACCCCTTCTGCATGTTGCCACGAGACTGGCCGATTCGTCCACTCATGTCCAGCCTGAGCTCCAAAAAGCACATGTGATCGTCATCGTGGACACTTCTGGTTCCATGCGAACGGTGGACGTCAAGCCTGAGCTTGGCGAATATTGGGTGAGCAGACTGGAAGCTGTCACTGCATCATTGTCATCATTTTTTGAGGCACAGGCCCCATCGCTTCTCCATGCCCTTCAGTCAAGAGAGCCAGGTGCACTTCATTGGTAAGAATGCAGCTCAGGCCAAAGCACAATCAAGGCATTTGGGGAAGCTGGCGGCAAGCTAAGGGACGCGCCACGCTGTTGGATTGGAAGCTGCTGAGAGGCTGGCAAGAATGCCTTTGGGAGGCACTCCACACTTGCTAGTTTTCAGCGACGGCCAGCCTGCAGATGGCAAACAGATGATTCAGTTTGCCCAGCGCATGCTATCTGACCATCCAAGCATGCACTTTCATGCAATCGGGTTCGGCGATGGGCTTGACTTCGATGCATTGCAGCAGCTAACTTCCATTGGGCGTGGCACATTCGCGCCATCCGGCAAGTCTGTCACTGCGCTCCACTGCATTTGCTTCAGTGACTTCAACCATCACAGAAACCCAGACAATCGCTAGCAGATCGAGCAAATCAAGTGCGTTCACTTTCAACGGGCCTCCAGGTCAATCGAGTGCAGAAGGTGTGAACGACAAGAAGCTGCAGAAGGACCTGCTGCTCAGAGCCGTGAATTTTGAGCCATCAGGCCAGTTTGTCTGGGGCCCGAAAAGGCCCTGAGTTTCAAATGCAGCCGCCAGCTGGTACAGCTTCAACGGCAAGGACTTCAGGAGACAACGCACGGTGCGTGGCTACAAGTATGAACCGGTTTCAATCAGATTGGAGCCATTCACCGATTCCAATCTATTTAGAGCAGGGTTTGGACGAGTTTGCAATGAGAGAAGCAGGCACCGATGCTCGCATGGTAGCCAAGCTGTCAAAATACACTGATGAATGGCACAATTCTGAGGAGGTTGTGGCAGCATAGGCCAGAAGCAGTGCAATTGCACAGTTTTTTGCTCGCGTGTTTACTTTGACGGCAGCGGATCGTTTGGGCCAAAAGGGCCGGACAATGGCAAGAATTATTTTTGTGGAATGCTACGTTTATGAAGCTGAGGAGGGAAGTGATGCTCCAGCCCCATTCATTGTGGCAGAGAGATACCTGCCTGGCGCCTTCATCAAGTACACTTCCAACGGCGGCTATGTTAATGGAGGCTGCAGACTCTGAAGTTGCCCAGGCCTTCTCCCATTTTACATTCCAAGCAAGTCGCGGCAAGCAGATGGTTTTGCACTTGCAGGGCGTCCACCTTGAGAAAATGCTGCGCGCGCCCACATTTGATCATGACAGACCCTCAGGTAAAGGACCGGGAGACCTGGGATTCGCTGGCATGCGGGCCTTCTTTCGGAATCACTTGCCAGCAGCTGGGCTTGGACAGAAAAGCCTGGCAGACCAGTCGGGCCGTGCGTAGAAAGATGAAGCTAGCCCAATTGCCGGAAGACATTGCCAATGCCCCCGCAGCTCCACCACAGAACGTGCGCTCGGGAGACATTGCTTGACGCTAATGCCCGAAGCCCCATCCGCATTGCTGATGTCGAAAGACTCACCTTCGCCGTTGATGTCGAAAGCCTCACCCCTCCTTTCGTTCCGCAACCCAGCTCTGAGCTGGCTCTGGTTTCAAGGCACCCAGACGGGGGCCCGCTCTCAGCCGCCATGGCACGGTCCGGGTCTGTCAAAGACATGGCTGGTCTTTTCCATGCAACAGGCTGGCCGTCCAGCTGAGGCCTGGCTTGAAACCCAGCCGGTGCCAGAGCTTCCGCCGGAGCCAAGAGCGCATCTGCCCAGTCAAGCACGCATGATACGTTTGCGCCCCAAGGACAGGATGGTGCACCTGGATCATGCCGCATTTCCCTTGCGAGCGCCAGTCCACCATAGAAGGCTCGAGCTACGATCGTAGGACGGAAGGAGATGTTGGCTGCGGCTCAGCCTTGTCTGTCTCTGACAGCAGAAGTGCACCGTGCGAGTCTGCAGCACAGTCAGAAGTCAAGACAGCACCATCCTGCGCGACCAAGCCGAAGAACACAGTTGCGTATGGTCCATTCGGACAAAAGATCTCCTTGACAAGCAGCAATCGTGAAGAAGTTGTGGCTGCAATTTCTTCTGCCTTTTCCATCCCTGCGGACGAGCAGCACCTGCTCCAAGAATCCGCCCCTGGGGCCGAGACGGGCTTCTTCCGTGTGGAGCGGAAGATGGACCCGCGATCGCTCCGCTTTACGCAGAGCAGCGTCAGCCCAACCTTCGAGGCCCATTTTTCAGCTCCTGAAGCAAGAGAAGTCGATCCCTTCAGGGAGTTGGAGCCCTTGGACGTTGTGTGGCATAGCGGCAGGTGGCGCTCATTGTCCAACCGCCGGCTGTGGGCACTCAAGCGCAGCAGCGATGGAATGAGCGGCCAGCCGCTATGTGTGCGAGCTCGCGTGCGGCCAGTGGATGCCGAGTTCCATGCGAAAAATACTAGTGCCAATGAAGGGGTCTCCGTGATGATCAGCGCGCGGTCGCGGTCACCCTCGCCAGTCTGCAAAGCAGGCTGTTGATCGCTTTTAAAGTTCTGCCCGCCAGATGAAGGCTAGACTTAGATGCCTGCATCTCTGGCCTGACATCGCCAGTCTTAGGTGGTGGGTGGTTCATGGTGAAAAAGGGGTGTGGCAAAGATGGCTGTGTAGTTGGTGGTGGTGGCGCTGCACCCCCAGACGTCCACTAGTTGCACAATTGCATGGCATTGGGCAAGCGTTCGCCACTTTTGCCAGGACAAAGTCTTCATCACTCCTCCGCCGCCCGGCTGATGACTGCAGATCGAGGGCCTGTGGGTCGCCTGTTATGTTGAGCTTCGGCAGTTTCCAGCACCCCAGGTTTGATGGCATCCTTGCTGGGACCACCGTGCGCAAGGCCACCCTTTTCCGAATCAAGCGTGCAAGTCATTTGCCGCCACCAGGCCCGAACACAGCAACTTGCGCAACATGTAATTGCTACGCAGGCCATGGAGCTGGCCAAGAAGCACTTGATGGGCGAGGCGCTGCGCCAGCGTTCGGTAAGATGGCCGAGAAATGTCTTGATTTGTCATGGTAGGCCGGCGACATTAGAAACCCAAGGGTTTCGAGGCGTATTCTCGCTGCAAGCTGTTGGGCTCCAGAAAGCACACCCGCTCAGCTGCGTCCGCAGCCCACAGTACACATGCCAGGCCAATGGCAAGGACACCCCCGCAACTGCGTCCACAGCCCGCAGAGTACATGCTGTGCTAATGGTAGCACACCTGCTTAACTGCATTCGCAGCCCCAGTACACATAATTACCAAGCCAGCGGTAAGTACCGCGCACACCCGCTCAGACGTCCACAGCCCACAGTTCACATGTCAGGCCAATGGTAAGCACACCCGCTCAACTGCGCCCGCAGAACGCAGTACACATGCCTGGCCAATGGTAAGCACACGCCCCCAGAACACATGCCGTGCCACACCCGCTCACCTGCGTCCGCGGCCCCCAGAACACACGCCTGGTAAGCACACCCGCTCGACTGTGTCCGCAGCCCGCAGTACACATGCCGTTCTCATGGTAAGCAGACCCGCTCGACGGTGCCCGCAGCCGCCAGAACACATGCCAGGCGAATGGCAAGCACACCCACTCAACTCTGCCCTCAGTCCGCAGAAGACATACCAGGCTTCCAATGATAATCCGCAGCTCGCAGAACACATGCCATGCCAACGGCAAGCGCGCAATGGTAAGCACACCCGCTCAATTGCGCCAGCAGCCCGCAGAAGACATGCTGTGCCAATGATAAGCGTCTGCGGAACACATGCCATGCCAATGGTGAGCACTCGCTCAACTGCCCCGGCAGCGTGCGGAACACGTGCCATGCCAAAGGTAGGCACACCCACTCAACTGCTTCCACAGCCCGCTGAACCCATGCCAGGCCAAAAAAAGCACGCCCGCGCAGATGCGTCCACAGCCCGCTCAACTGCGCATGCCCGCTCAACTGCGTCCGCAGCCCGCAGAACACAGGACAGGCCACTGGTTATAAGCATACCGACTCAACTGTGTCCAATGGTAAGCACGCCCACTCAACTCGGCAAGCGCACCCGCTCGACTGCGTCCGAAGCCCGCAGAACACATACCAGGCTCCCAATGATAATCCGCAGCTTGCAGAGCACATGCCATGCCAACGGCAAGCGCGCAATGGTAAGCACACCCGCTCAATTGCGCCAGCAGCCCGCAGAAGACATGCTGTGCCAATGGTAAGCGTCCGCGGAACACATGCCATGCCAATGGTGAGCACTCGCTCAACTGCCCCCGCAGCGTGCGGAACACGTGCCATGCCAAAGGTAGGCACACCCACTCAACTGCGTCCACAGCCCGCTGAACCCATGCCAGGCCAACGATAAGCACGCCCGCGCAGATGCGTCCACAGCCCGCAAAGCAAATGCCAGGCCAATGGTAAGCACATCCGCTCAACTGCGCATGCCCGCTCAACTGTGTCCAAGGGTAAGCACGCCCACTCAACTCGGCAAGCGCACCCGCTCGACTGCGTCCGAAGCCCGCAGTACACATGCCAGGCCGCCGGTAAGCACACCCTCTCAGATGGGTCCACAGCCGGCAAAACAAAGGCCAGGCCAATGGTCAGCGCACGCGCTCAACTGCGTCCGCAGCCCGCTGAACACATGCCGGGCCAACGGTAAGCACACCCGCTCAACTGCGTCCGCAGCCCGCTGAACACATGCCAGGCTAACGGCAAGCACACTCGCTCGGACGCTCGACTGCGTGCGCAGCCCACTGAACACATGCCAGGCCAATGGTAGGCGCGCCCACTCGACTGCGTCCGCACCCCGCAGAGCACATGCCAGGCCAACGGTAAGCACACTTGCTCAATTGCGTCCGCAGCCCGCTGAACACATGCCGGGCCAACGGTAAGCACACCCGATCAACTGCGTCCGCTTCCCGCTGAACACATGCCAGGCTGACGTTAAGCGCATCCACTCGGCCGCTCGACTGCGTCCATGCCAACGGTATGCGCGCCCGCTCGACTGCGTCCGCAGCCCGCAGAAGACATGCCACGCTTGTGAAGCTGCTAGTGCTGCGGACCGCGGAATACATGCTATGCCAAAGGTAAGAACACCCGCTCAAATCTCTCCTGTTTGCTCACTACGCAAGAAAGGCTTGACCCAGGTTTTGCAACACTGCATCTTCCTTTCTGGGACACCTGAGCACGAAGCAAACCCAAAGACTCTCCGATGGAACGACCCTGAGCGCATGCCATCTGAATGAACGCGACCTAAGACTCTCCGGTCGCGTTCTTTCAGATGGGGTGCGCATATTGTTCTACGAGAAAGCCCTGGTGTTGCACCTTTGTGCCTCTTGCGCCCCGAGCTTGAAACGCAGGTGCCGCAGGTGTTCCTAACAACGCCAATGCCTTGTTTGCTTCCCAACAATCCATGCTCAAGCCCTGACGTATGTGGGCCCCTTGACTCATAGCGGCATTGTCTGACTACTCCACTGTGAGATGCCATCAGCCAAGTGAGAATGGGATCCGGACAATCTTCGAGCTCCAAGTCTTGCGGAGGCCTTGAAGGAGGTGAGACAAGAGATCCTGCACAAGGATCAACTCTTTGCAGCCCAGGAGGCGGGGGGGGGGGGGCGGCAAAAGGGTTGCTCGTGCGGCCTGCATTTGGCTGGATGCAAACAGTTTCCAATTCCGAAGCTGGGATTGACGCTACGGAACTCAGGCTAGGTTTAACGCCGATGCCGCGTGCAGGTGATCATGTTTTGCGGAGATCTCGGGGTCTTCCCGGTGACCACTCTCGACGGGTGCACCATCGCTTCCGGTGAGGCGGGAAAGGATGGTGCCAGCAGCCTCCCAGATGCCGGGCGCATATCGCTTGGATTGAAAATTCACCCTGATATGCTTTCGCTGCGGCAAGGTGGGTGCAGTGGGCAAGGAGCTGAAGCGGCTCATTTGGCAGGTGCAACAGATGTGGGGGCTCATGCAAGGTATCCCATGTATCCCCAACTTGCGATGTTTGAGCTGGCCATCAAAGTAGCGTTTGGCCCGCCAGGTCGCCTTTGAAGGCACTGAGGAGCACATCCAGCTGACGTACTGATGCCTTAGTTTCGCAAGCCTTTTGCATAGCCCATTGGGAATGTTTGCCGGGCTCAAGATCCCAGGCGCTCTGTGGATCATTTGGTCATAGCGTGCTACGGTGCAGGCGAGTTGCACGTTATGCCACTTCCATTACTTCAGGATGGCATGGCCGCGCGGTGTTTTCAACCTGGGACAGAGTCCCCGAGTGTTGGAAGCATCTTCAGAGAGCGGGCTTCTCAATCGCAAGCTACATCGGCCGCCGGGAAAGCAAGAAAGAGACGGCTGAGACCAGCAGCAAGTTGGGGGCATTGCGCGCCATGAAGCGCCCTTCATGGTTTGACGAAGGCCAACTTGCTGTTGGCAGACCTAACTTTGACTTGCCGCTTCTCTGCACAATGAGAAAGCATGACGTAAGCTAGGAGGTGTGAGTCAAGTAGTAGCCACGTGGGGCTTTCGGAACCTCAAGTTTACCAGCTCACTTCTGGTATCTCCGTCCAGCGCTCCGGGATGAACATCAGGACCTTTGCGAACCTTGATGGCCGCTTTGATGGCAGCGCGGCAGTGCGGCATTACGCATGGCTGGGCTTGGAGCGCTTCTCACCTAGAATGTGTGTACATAGCGCGCAAGTCCAAGGCCAGGCTGCGGCGCTGATCGTTGCAAGTCTTGTTTGGTTCTTGTCCCTTTGAGCATTGCCATGGTTCCCAAAAGGCAAAGCAGGCGTAAGGCCTTCAAACAAAAGCATGTTTTGCATCCCCTGCAATTGACCATGTCTTGTTGCACTCCTAGTTGTTGAGTGCAAAATTATGGACCTTGCAAAGACCACTGTTATGGTGGCAATGCTCGTGTGAGTGCAGAATTTGTTCACACATGTGAGCCACATTGCGCCAGGTGCTCATGAAGACAACCATGTCATGCCTGCCGTGACAGCACAGGAGGGCGGCAGCAAGTCAATGAATTCGATGCTGCGTGCTAAACCAACGGGTGGTTGCAAACTGCAGGCACTGAGAGGACCGGCCTCCAGCGATCAAACAGTTCTCACCATCTTTATTTGCAACCGATGATTCTACCGTGCATGTGCAAGAGTTGCCTTAGCTCAGATGCCTCGCGTTTTTGCTCAACCTGTTCTCGCAATAGCTTTGCCAGGAGAGGGGTGGCAACAATCTTCGCATCGTGGCTTGAAGCCAAACGGGTCCGCAAAGCACAATGCCTGACCACTTTATGATCAAACAGCAGGAGCACGGCATTGCAGCCGGTCGAACGGCATCTCGTGTAGGTGAATAGTTAACATCTTTGCGGTTTTGTGGCGACAGGTATCTAGACAGAGGTCAAATTGCCACTGCTGAAGATGCGCAGCAGACATACAATGACATGCATGTCATTTGTTGGTGCTCTCTCCCCCCTGCACAGGATAGGACAACGCTGTCCACTAAGGTTACCTTCCCAGCGTTGCAGCGCGTCGGAAGTCACAAGCTGTGTCCTAAAACCTGGTGTGGTGACAAGGACCGATTGCCATTGGGAGTGGGCCACAAGCATGCAATATTTTTCCCCAACAGCTGAAAGCTTTGGGGTCTCAGCCCAGATAGGCTCCGGGGTGGTCCGGGGCGGCCCTGAGGTAAGGTTCCACGAGGGTTCCACCAGGGTTCCACCAGGGTTCTACCAAGGTTCCACCAGGGTTCCACCAGGCTCTGTGAGGGCTGTGGGGTGGTCCAGGGTGGTTTGAGGTAAGGTTCCACCAGCGTTCCACGAGGGTCCACCAGGGTTCCACCAGCATTCCACCAGATTTCCACCAGCTTCTGGATCTGCAAGGTAAGGTTCCATGAGGGTTCCACCAGGGTTCTGCAAGGGCTGCGGGGTTCATGGTTCCACAAGGTTCCACCAGGGTCCTACCAGGGTTCCACTAGGTTCTGCAAGGTGTGCGGGGGGTTAGAGGTAAGGTTCCACGAGGGTTCCACCAGGGTTCCACCAGGGTTCCACCAGGGTTCCACCAGGGTTCAGGGCTGTGGGGTGGTCCGGGTGGTTTGAGGCAAGGTCCCACCAGCATTCCACAACGGTTCCAGCAGGGTTCCACCAGATTTCCACCAGCTTCTGCAAAACCCGAGGTTCTGCAAGGTAAGGTTCCATGACGGTTTCACCAGAGTTCTAGCAGAGATTACCACAAGGTTCTGCAAGGGCTGCAGGGTGGTCCGGGGTTCATGGTTCCACAAAGTTCTGCGAGGGCTGGGATGGTCCGGGGCGGCTTTGAGGTAAGGTTTCACAAGGTTTCACAGAGTTCCGCAAGGATTTCACAAGGGTTCCACAAGGCTCCACAAGGTTCCACAAGGGTTCCACAAATGTTCCGCAAGGTTCCGTGGTTTGGTCTGGAGGGAAGCAATGTGTCAAATTGAGGGCTCAGAAGATCGCTTTGCTCATGGGCGGAACACTAAGCAAAACCGAAATCAATAGTTTTCAGCACACTTTCACTGTTTTGTCACTTGCTCACTTGCTCAGGCAACGCGGCTCGAAATGCTGGCTTTGTGGCAAGTCAGATCACGCTGCTGCGGGACTCACTGGGCAGCAGAGTAAATGCTTGGCATTACTGAGTATTCTTGGTGGGCTTTGGGTTCCAAGAGTTTCACAAGGCTGCGAGGGGCAGGGGTAAGGTTCCAAAAACGCTGCACGAGGCTGATTACCAGGTTCTGAAAAAGCTATGGGGCAGCCCTGAGGAAAGGTTCCAACAAAGTTTCACGCTGAGTTTGACGAGGGTTCCACGAGGACGGTTTGCGAGGTTTGGTTGGCTGGGGTTGGTGGGGCCCACTTGCACGGGCCCGATTGCGCCGTCGGGCCCCGATCGGGTCCCATGCGCCGTCGGGCCGATCAGGGCGCGATGGCGCTGTCACTCTTAGCTTTGCTTTACAAAGTTACAAGGCGGCATCCTCAGCAAAACCGGCGGTGAGGTGGGTCCCGGGCCGTTCCGGGAGGATTCTGGGAGGGTGTGGTGCTGTTGGGGATATCGCCTGAGCTTATTTTTATTTGGTCCTTCATCGTAGCTTTTCAGCTGAATGAATCGCTAGCCTGGGCCTGGTCTTCGGGTGCGGCCATGGACACGCGCAGTATGAGCGCGAGCTCACCAAATGCAGCAGCCGGATGTTTTCCAATGCCTCATCTTTTTTGGCCTCCTTGCATGCCCAAAATGGGGCTCCCATGGCAAGGGGGACCACCATATCGATGTGACCTTCCTTGCGCACCGCGACAGATGTTCTGCGGACCACGTGCAAGACCTCCCCCATTGACTGGGCCTGCTTTCATGCCCAAAATGCCTTCATTCATGCCTGCACCGTGGTTTCAACCCATGCTGGACCACATTCAATGCCCGGAAGGGGGCCTCCACCTCACGCAGCACAGCATGACGTTTAATGGCATCCTTCGATGTCTACAACGGCGCAGCCAAGGTGAAGGCGAAAGCCGCAGCTCAGGTGAAAACTAAATCCGCAGCCAAGTGGGTTGCTAAAGCCGCGGCCAAGGCGAAGGCAGAAACCACCATAGCCACCTACAATGCGAATAGTTTTGGCATTGCACAAGGCTCAGGAAAACAAACTGGGGCGAGAGTTGATGTGTGCAGCTGGTGTAATGCGGCAAGGATGGCCCGCCTGTGACGCCGCTGAGGCGCAGAACGGTAGCTTCTATTGCGAGTTTTGTTGGGGGGAGTTTGATGTGCATCAAAGAAACGCAGGATCAGCATGTGGAGGTGGCGATTTTTGGCATGAGCAGATTCTAGAGGCTGAAATTGTTGCAGCGGAGCACGAAGATGATGAGGGAGAAGAAGTGTTTGAATTCATGAAGAAGGCCTTTGACTCGCAGGCCATGGAGCTGGCCAAGAAGCACTTGATGGGGGAGGCGAGCGCCAGCGCTCGGGAGAAGCGCCCAAGAGATTTTAAGCCAGGTCGAGCGGTTGTTTGTTTCCCCATGATCCGTTCAGCAGAAAAGAAAGCCATGCGGTTGTTTTCAAGCCCCGACGTATGTGGGCAGCTGAGTCATTATTTTAGCACTACTGCATTCTTCCCCGTGACCCACAGGGGCATGCACTGATTCTGGAAGAGGAGATGTTTTTTCTGTTCACACGGCACTGCCAGATGCCAAGCCAAGTGAGAATGGGATCCATACAATCTGCGAGCTCCATGCTGCGGAGGCCTTGAAGGAGGTGAGACAAGAGACCCTGCACAAGGATCAACTCTTTGCAGCCCAGGAGGCGGGGGGGGGGAGGGTTGCTCGGGCAAGAAGAGGGTGCCTGTCCCACCTTGTCATGGCATTTGGCTGGATGGTAGTCTTTCCAATTCAGAAGCTGGGATTGACGCTTCGGAACTCAGGTTAGGTTCGGATTGCACTGGCCATCAAAGTAGCGTTGGCCTTCGCCAGGTCGCCTTTGAAGGCACAGAGGAGCACATCCAGCTGACGTACTGATGCCTTAGTTTCGCAATCCTTTTGCATAGCTCAACCTTCTGTGGATCTTCTGGATCATAGCGTGTACCGGTGCAGGTGAGTTGCACGTGTGCCACTTCTACTACCTAGGTTCGCATGGCTGGGTGGTGTTTGCAAGCTGGGACAGGGCCCCCCCAGTGTTGGAAGCAGGCTTCTCAATTCGGAAGCTACATCGGCCGCCGGGAAAGCAAGAAAGAAACGGCTGAGACCCGCTGGGGCATTGTGCAGCGATGGCCATAAAGCGCCATGGATTGACGCACACCGCAGATTGTGGACGTAAGGCTTTTGCAGAGGAAGCTCTGCGGCTTGATCAGCCTGGGGCTGAGATTCACGCCGTGCCTGCCTACGGGGGGGACCGCGTGAAAAAGCGATCCAATAGGAGCGCCGGTCATTTGCGATGCTTAGGTATGGGCGGGCGGTGCTGCCACGGCCTCAGGATCAGTATTTCATGCAATGGGTGTGCTTGGCTCCCAATGTTTGTGCCCAGAGACAGCAAGGCCCGATGGTCGGCTCACGAAGACGGAGGGCCAGACGCTTTCATCGTTTGGTCAAGGTGTAGCAGAGAGACATACTAAGCTCTAGGAAGTTGACAGCACCACAAGGTCTATGAGTTGGGAGATGCTGACGTGAACAGATTCCTGGTTGGTTGGAAAATGCTTTGTCCAGCAGTGGCTCTCCCGAGGCTTGCAGGTTTGTGACCAGGTGGCCTGCTTCCTGGAAAAGCCCAAGGTGCCATTAGCTCCGTTTCATGCACATCCCAACCCGTTTGGCGTTGCTCCCAGACTTTTTTCGGGATAGAGGCAAAGATCAGAAGCTGTTATTGCTAGGCAATGCCTTGGAAATGCTCAATTTCTGCCGGGTTTTCGCCTAACAGTCTTTTGACGCAGCGCTGCCACATCGATACACTCACTCACTTAACTTGGGTCATGAGCCAGCCTGGGAGGTTTGGGCACGAAAATCTCAGCCAAGCGGGGTTGCACAGCAGCGCGCAAGTCGTAGGTGTTCGTGGCCGGTTCCACCGGAGAGCTGGGCAGAAGAGCAGGGCTGCACAGAAGGGGTGAGGGCGGGGGCATCGTGAGAAAACGGGAGGGCAAGCATGGGGAAGACAAGCCGGCTGCTCTGGGTTGTGGATGGTCTTTTGTTGCAATATCGCATATGTGTAGCCCCGTTGCTTCAAGCCCAGCATGTGGAAGGCACTGTGTGCCTCCCACTTGCTGGGAGTTGCTGGGACTTCCAGCGGCAAAGTGGTTCATTTGATCCGCCATGGCACGGCGGAGCACAACATTCGATACGATCGCAGGTTTGGCGTGTTCGGAGACCTGATCCGAGGGCGGCTGAAGGGGGCAGAGTATGACCGTCGGCTTTTCCCTGAGATCGAGGAGTGGGCATACATGACTCAAGAGACCATCGACACCTCGCTGGTGGAGAAAGGCGTGGCAGAGGCGAAGGCCTTAGGGGCAGCTTGGGCTGATGGCCGTGTTTGTTTGCACGACCGCTCTGGGGACACTGGAGAGAAGCTGCAGATGAAGATGTGCGAGGTGGACTTGATTGTAACGAGCCCGCTGACGCGGACGCTGCAAACCACGAGGAACGTGTTTTTCGAGGAATCTTCGCTCCAAGATGGGTCCCGGAAATATTTGCGTCGCGGGGGCCCAACGCAGGCAGCTCCAATCGTTGCTTTGGACTTCATCAAGGAGTGGTCCCAGGGGCGTCACACGCCGAACCTGCGGAAGCCGCGCTCGGTCCTGGTGCCACGGTTCCCCGAAGTGGACTTCGGGCACCTGGAGGAGACGGACGAGCTCTGGAAGGAGCGCTGGCCGTCCGGCGATGGCTTGGAACCGCGTAGCCACCTAGAGTTCCGTGTGGCGCGGTTCAGGGACTGGTTGGGCCAGAGGCCAGAGAGGCACATCGTGGTGGTGGGCCACGGCACCTTTCTGGGGAACATGCTCTTTGGGACCTTCATAGAGGATCAGGTAGAGTTGGCCCACGGGCAGATCTATGCCTGCAGGGTTTGACGGCCATCAGGTCACCAGGATCCAATCCGAGGAGACATTTGAGATACATCTGTGGCCAGGGCGAGCCATTGATCCGCAGGCATGTTCACCCTTGATGTCGCAAAGCAAGCCGCGCCGACTTGACTTGCAGGAGGCCGAGGCCCTTGTGAAAGCTACAGTGGCTGCATCAAACGTCCAGGCAAAAAGATGGCCCACTTTGCCAAAAGCTGCTACCGCCGTGAAAGCTAGCATGGCTGCCAGCAAGTGATCTTGCGACGCAAGGAAAAGGTTGCAGCACCTCAGGCATCATACATGCTTTTCTGTCGCTGCTACGGTGCATGTGGCAGAATGCGGTACATCAACAACTCTCCTCGTCACTCCCAAAACAAAGGCACTCCACTTGCAACATGCGCCGGTGAATTACCAGGCTGTTCTGGACATGCTGCGAACGGGCATGCTGGGCTCCTAGCCGTGGAGCATGCACATGGAGTTGCTGTCTTGGTTCGGCGCCCGAGTTGCTGACTGCGTCTGCTGGCAAGGTCTATCTATTGTGGCGCACGGGATGAAGGTCTGGGCCCGCATTGCTCCGAAGAAAGCCGGATATTACAACTCGAAACTTTGCCTGCGAGCATGGGTAGAAGTATGGGGACAGCCGCGGGTGAGGAACATCCTCGTAGTAGGACCGTTGCAAGACAGGGAGGACAATTTGTCGTTTGGCCTGTTTCTGAGTTTGACACACCATTCACACCACGGGTAGGTTGGTGGTGAAAATCCATTCTGTGGGAGTTTAGGCTTTGGTTCGCTCCAATGTGCCAGGTCGAATCTTCGAGGTCCAGTACCAAAACCGCACATCCTCCAAGCGTGCTCCTCAAGGTGAACACTTATGTACTGGGCATGTCGGGGAAAAAACAGTAGGCTTGGGGTTACACGTTATGTTTTTTTCCTCTACGAGTATGCCACGTAAGGTATCAGATGACTGTGATCCAGGATGTGCTTGTTGAGGGTGGACGGGAGCAGGCTCGCACCCACGGAGACTTTCTTGCATTTACAACCCAACATCAAATTTTAATCATCTTGGGCAGGGGCTGCCACAAGCATTGTGAGGTTTGAAAGAATAGCGAACATCAGTGCTGGCCACTCTTCCAAGAAAAGACGAGCTGCTGTACAGCTGCTGCTTGTGACTTGCTTGGCCCTTTCAAAGGCACCCCCCTTCAGAGGCACCCTGCCAGGCGCTGGAGGAGCAGCTGCAGGACGCCTCAGTGGCACGGGGCCCCGGTTGTGTCTTGGTATTTGGTTTCGGTTGTCACCGTATGCGGGACTTCCTGGTGCGGCTACTTAGCCATCATGGCCATCATGGGGCCTTTTGGTGGCTTGATTGCAGATGCGGGTGGGCTCGGCATACAATTCCCGGACGGGGCTCGGTAGATTTTAAACTGGTCTGGCGAGGAGGCTGCAAGTTGCAGGTCAAAGGGGCCGGCGAACAGGTGGTGGATTTGGCCGGTGCCCGCTTTGGCGTGGACGTCCTGCGGCCTGGCCTGGGTGGGGGCCTGGGAAGGAATGGCATGAGTTGCCACAAACATCGCAGAGCTCCCAAGTGTCTTAATCCATTGAAAGGGGTCAAGGTGCAGCATGCGACCGAGGCTTGGACCAAGAAGAGCCGCAGCCCGATCAATTTGGCCAACAGACCAGCGCGATCATCGGTTGCAGACAAAACGCCCCACCATCCACCATGGTTCAAGGCCGGATCGCTGCGACCTGCAGGGCACCAAGGCCCTGGTCGATGCAGCCAAGGCGAAAGGCCAGGTTGTTGGAAGCTGAAGATGGCGAGACACACAAGGTGAAAGCATGGCATCCGAAACAAAGGCGCACAAGGTTTGCTGAAAGCAGCCCAGCATATTTAGCTCTGGCTTGTGGAGGCGTTTGGGTTTTGCGAGCTTATGTTGGGCAGTACTTGTGTTTCGTCGTTTGGTGTGGATCCTGCTTTCTGCTACTTGCACCTGTCATTCAAAGACACCCTGCGGGTGCAGCCGAACAAGGTGTGGCATGCAGCCCTTGGCTCCAGCATGGGAGCAGGCTTGGGCCATGGCTGTCCCGGCTGACTCGGAAGGCGTGGGACTGATTGAGTGATCGGCATGAGACACTGTCACTGGAAGCAAGCTCAGCTTTGCACAACAAGCACCATCTTCTTCCAGGATGTTGAAGGCTCATGCCAGTTGGAAAGGCTGTGCAAGGATGTGCCCAAAGCTCAGGAGCCGCCCCAGACTCGCCCCCGGCCGAGCTGCAGCCAAAGACAGCGTGCCCTAGCTGAGATCTGAAGCTTCTGCACGGGCCTGTGGCCTTCAGGTGCATTTGAATTTCTGTAGATTTCTTTGGAAGCGCATGGCCTTCGTGCGCACATTGAACAACCCCGAGGCGCTGGACGGCCCCGGGTGACTGGGCCTTGGCCGCTGAGCTGCTCTGGGACGGCGAGGCCACTTTGCATGGGCCATGGCCCTAGCGATGCTTACGGCCATTTACAGGCGAAGCAGAGTGGAAGCCCCGGCTGAGATTCCAATTCCCGTCTTCCGGCTGAGGCACTGCGTCGTGGTCCGAGGGGACCGCATCCTGGCGGTGTGCAGCGTCGAGGAAGCCACGGAAGCCGGGCTCGCTGTGGAGCAGCACAGGGGCTGCCTGCTGCCGGGGCTCATCGACGCGCACGCGTCCTGACACCAAAGGGCAGTGAAGGGCAGGTTTGCAGGGCTATTGATGCTGCGTGATGACATTGAGCCGGCGCTTTCCGCGCTGGTAGGAGGCTATCCACAATCTCATCTGGAACAATTCTGTACGCATGTGCAATTCAGCTTCCACCACCTCCATTTGGTATAGTTTGTTGCCCGCGCGCCCTTTAGATGTGCGCCGTCTTCCGACAGCCTGAAATGGTATGTTCTGGGTGCCCCTGAATATCAGCGTCAAGACCCTCTGGACGGAACGGCAGAGAGAGAGAGAGCGAGAGAGAGAGAGAGAGATGCATGAATGTGCAGGTCTCAAGCAGAGGCACTAATTATCTCACATTGGAACAAGCTTATGTTGGGTAGCTTCCCGTGACGAAGGCCCCTTACTTGGATATTTCTGCGTTCCATTTGATAACAGTTTGTCTCGAATCATGCGAGAGTCGGCCGGCTTGTAGCTCATCCGAATTTTGCGGGATTGCGGAAATAGCCTAGGTGCATATGGAGTTTAGCGAGCACTTCCCGCTGCATGAGCAGCCGCGCCTTGCGGCCAAGCAGCTGCGCGAGGCCATGGCTGACAGAGCTGAGCGCATGGTGCGCAGTGGGCGCCTTTGGCAGCTGTAGCTTCTGGATTCAGTGAAGGGCAACCAATCCCATGTTCAACACTGACCAGCATTCATTAGCATTATTGTTGTGATGATCATCTACGTTTCGGCTTTGTAATTCTGGGCGCAGCCGGTGCGGCTCATGTTGCTTTTGCGAACGCGGCCAGCTGCTTGAAGGGCGACTTGCCTATGGGGCATCGAGTCCGAAATGCTTCCTTGGCCCACCGCGAGCTGAGGATCACTACGGCTCGGGATTTGGGCGGAAGAAACTTTGCTGCCTTAGGTGCCTTCGCGGAGGATTGCTTTCATCCCTGGATCGTGCATCCTTAAGTCGCTTTGGGGAGATAAAGGCAGGCAAGAAGCTTGGAGGAATTCCCTGATGGCGCTCCCCAACAGCTCAACAAAAAAATGTGGGAGGTGCCGGACCTTGGCGATTGCACAGCTTATGGCAGACCTGTGCGCAGCCAGGGCTCCGGGACGATATTCGCGAGGGCAAAGTGAAGGGACCTCGGCTGCTGTGCGCGGGGCAGCCCCTCACAGCACCGAAGGGCCACTGCCATCAATGGGGCGGCGAGGCGCGGTGGATGATGGCGCGTGGGTAACGGGCATGATCAGTAGCATGAGGTCAAAATAAAGCACCAGAAAGGAAGCAAGGGGAGGGAGGGGAGGGAGGGAGGAGAGGGAGGGGAGAGAGGGGAGGGAGGGGAGGGAGGGGAGGGAGGGGAGGGAGGGACTGAGGGACTGAGGGACTGAGGGACTGAGGGACTGAGGGACTGAGGGACTGAGGGACTGAGGGACTGAGAGAGGCAGAAAAACGGAAAAGAAATAGTGGATGCATGAGATTAGTGAGAGAAGGGAGGCAACATAGAGAAAGGGCCTCCATTCGTAAGCTTCTCTCACACTCATTCATTTGTCATCTTTTCGTTCCCATTCTAGCTCCCAACCCTCCAACAGAGAGCGAAGGGCGTGGGAGCTAGGACAAAGAGAGGAACGAAGCGGTCTTTTCACCGCTTGCCTTGGGTCTCTGAGCGCGGCACTTGGTCAAAAGCTGTCAATGAGAAAGATAGCCATCATTTCCAAGTAAGAGGATAACCAGAATGAAGGAAGATAATATAAAATAGATTACAAAGATAGAGAAGAAAGAAGTAAATGAATACTAAAAGACAAGACCGATTAATAACCATAAGATTTCTATAACATGCCAGTAATAAAATTGTAGATTCCAACATATATTGATTTCCAAGATTCTAAAGTTTACAATAAATACTACTAACAGGACACATAGTCTTGGAAATAATGAAGAAATGTAATATATAATACAAAGATATCAGTAAATAAATAAATAATACTATGAACATACAATATGACATGCTGATTAATTATTAATTATCCGTGTATTATTTCTGAGATTACATGAGATACATATGACATTTCAAATAAGATGATAATAACAACCAACAAGACAGATATAAAAAGACAAATTAACATCCAATAATGATCAACATGTGAAAAAATAGAGATAGAAGAATGAATGGAGGAATGCATGATTTCTTATTATTAGTCTAATTCTCTTTCATATGTATTATCTTATTGTCATCACCTTTGTTTCTTATCTTACTATCTATTTCTGTTACTTTCATAATCTATTTGTCTTCTTTTTCTTTCTTATTGAGGCAGGCAGTGGCTTAGGAAGTCAGGGAGGCGTGGAGGCATGGAGGCAGTGAGGCGTGGAGGCAGGAGTCAAAGAGTGACGGACGGTTTTTGCAAGGCCGGCTCAGTGCCAGAAGCCCTGGCAGTGGTTGACCGCCAGGCGGGTATGACATTGGTTTTCATTGGCGCACGTGGTTGATTTATTCTGGCACTTCTTCTACATGGGTCATACAGCTTCAAGCGGTGGTCAAGGTGGCGCACGGCGTGGATTGGGTGAAGGTCATGGCTACCGGCGGCATGCGCACACCTGGCACCGATGTCGAGGAGTAGCTGAAAGCGCAGTTTCAGTTAGACATTTCAAGCCTGTATAGCTTGCATGCACCAAGACACGCACACCTTGCAAACCCACATTCCTTGCATGCTGCCCTGCAGGAGGCTGCGTTCAGCACCCAACTCTTGACAGAGGCACGTGTTGGAATACAGTCGTTCATGGCAGCTCGTCTGGATGCAGGTGCATGGTGTGATTTGGACTTGTCCCTTCAAGTTCGAATTGTTCGATGTCATTGCTTGCTTGTTGGAGCTAGTATGGCCCCGCAGGTTGTACAGAAAGCTTCTGCGCATGAGCGTCCGGTGGCAGCGCATGCACACGGCGCCAAGGGCGTTGTTGCAGCAGTAAAGGCCAGGTGGCGCCTGCATGTTGTGGGGCAGTGCCAGTTAGCATGATAAGACTCACTGGTAAGGTTGGGGCTTTGAAGCATTGCTCCAAACGCAGGCCGGATGTCGCACAGTGGAGCATTGCACCTGGATTGCAAAAGCTGGACAGTGGGGCTGTGTGGATGACCAGACTGTGGAGGCTCCGCTGGGTGCTGCGCAGTCCTAGCAGCAATTGCCTTTGACCACTTGAAGCAGACATACCGATCGTGCTGCTACACCCGTGCGTCCTTCAGGAGATGGCGCGTCGAGGCGTGGCAGTGGCTCCTACAGCGCATGCCAACTGGCGATTCAAGCCAATGGGAGAGCGCAACTTCGACCGTGCCGTGCTCAGCTGGCAGGAGTATGCTGCCCACAGGGCTGAGAGAAGGCTACCATGCCCTTCACGTCTGGGAAAGAAACTGTGTAAGTTACGGAGAAAGTGGGCAAATGGCTTCAGGACTCTCAGGTGCTGTTTTTCTAAAGTCGCTTTGCAGGCATGGCATTGGCGCTGCAGCGCTTGAAGGGCGCCGGCGTGCCCTTGCTTGCCTCCTCGGATGCTGGGGCGATCCCAGGCACGGTTTTGAATTCCCAGCTTCGGCTCGGCGCGCCTTGAGCTATTTGAGAGGCAGCTGAGTGAATAGTGCGCGCAACCCGCAACCAATTCCCAGTGACCCCCACACTCTCTGGCATGCTTTGCATCCCAGACGCCACCTTTTGCAAGATCGCAGTGGGGCGCAGGACTGCCGCATGACGCGCTGGCCGGGGGCATCGAAGTGCTAGCGCACATGGCCAGGACTTTGCTTTCCTTGTTTGTTCCCTCGTGCAAGGAACAGCGTGATCGATGAGACCTAAGACCCGTAAGACCGACTCAACATGGCCACACACCGGTGACGGATGCACAGAGTGATGTCACAGGTTTTGCCAGGAAAAAACAAACAAACACCAGCAACCTATTCTGCAAAGGCCCAGTGAGGGCTCACATGCACTTGCCACTACCAGAAACTCCCGCGAGAAACTCGCGTCAACAGCTCCTCCAAAAACTGCTAGATTGCCTCAGCCACCACTGCCAGGATGAGCCCGGTGGAAGCGCTTAGTGCAGCTACTCGCCGCAGTGCTGAGGTCTTGGGTTTGGGCCAAGAGCCGCTCGGCAGCACAGCGAGCGCATGTACGAAGGAGCCTTGAGCAGGCAGAGTTCGGAGGGTGACGAGTGTAGGACCCTGTAGGGAGTTGTGAGGGCATTCTTGCCGCCATGTTACAATGCCGTTCCCCAGCCTCCTTGCATTTGTGTTTTTTGCAAAATCTCTCAGCCTTTTATTTCGGATCTCTGAGTTCTTGTGAGGGCAAAGGCTGCTTGCCGGGAAAGTCTCAGGTGCGGCCGCCTAGCTCCAGGGCTGTCCGCTGACCTTTTGCTGGTGGCAGCAGCCTCAGCTCAATGTTGCGCATTTGCTGAACAATCTCCCAGGCCCATGAAGGCACTGGTCAAATTCGCATTGTCTTGGAGAAAGCATGGGTGGGCATCAACGCTTTCCAGGTTTTTCACGGCATGTGTGTGGGTTCCCCATGGAAGGAGCTGTGACCATGATCCACAGACAGCTGCAACGCAACTACGGCACACAAACTGCACCGTGCACATAGATAGCTTTGTGCCCCAACTATGCTCTCAATGTTGGCGCCCTCTCAGACCCAGGATGGCGATCCCACCCGGGATTTGCACGTGCTGCAGTGGCCTATCCTGGTAGTGGCGGCAGGCCGTTCCAGCCTGAGCCCGTCATAGTCCGTTACCAACATCCCAATCCTGAAACCCGCTTAAAGGGAAACAGACCGCCAACGAGCCAAAAAAGACACTTATAGCGGAGGGGCGTTGGTGCCGATATTTCCTAGAAAGCCAGTTGACAGTTGCACGGTTCAGGGTTTGTTGGCGCGTTGCTCGCTGAAGGCCGGGTGGTGCCCGTTGTGCAGCCGCCGCCCAAGCCTCAGGCTGGTCAGTACAGGGCGTGTGACCTGAAGGCGTTCCTTGCAGCGGCTTTGCACAGTTGACAATACTCACGAGTTGGTCATCAGATACACGGTTGGGTACCAAGCCGCCTCTCGACTGCCAAATGAAAGCAACACAAATCAAGCCTTCGGGAGAAATACATCCTGCCCCAGCTGCTAGGCATTGTTGTTCTTGTTTCGGGGGATGCTGCGTTTTCATGGCTGCCAGCTGTGTAGACTCAATTCAAGGTGACAGTAGGGATTTTGGAAATGTTTGATTCCCGCGTCGAAGCTGCCCTCAGAAAATGAATGCAGGAACACATGTGAGCGAGAGAGCCCTGCCAGACAGCTCGTCCGCATCGCACCCGCGCCCGCCACTGAAAGAAACCCTGATTCTTTTCCACAGGCCCAGCGCGAATTGCTTGGCAAAGCCAAGTGTTTGCTGAAAGCGCAGCCGCGGGTTGTGGAGTTTTCCTGCGGGGTGCATCGCAGGAAGTAGTGCTACGCTGGTTGTGCAAAGAATGCAACCGAGTAGGCGTGAGCATCGCTTATATTCTTTCGACATTGCCTGCCGGGTGGCACGGCAGGCAAGAGGGCCTCAAGGCTTCCACTGAGAAGCAACCAGCAATACAGCCAAGCGCAAAGCAGATTGAAGGAAGCCTTTCAAGGCCCAGTCTCTTGCCAGCAACGCTTTCTGGCTATGGCACAGTGTCAGGGCAACCCACAAATGCAGAGGCGAAAAGACGTGCTCAGACTGGAGCCAGCCTGCGAAGGAGGGGCGTTGGCACTATGACTGGCGTGCAGGTGTGAAGAAGTTCATCTACGTGTCATGGCCCCAATGGCCCCTCGATGCCGGGAGATCGGTGTTTGAGCCAAGTTACCAGGTCGGCCGTCCTGGTCAACGGCAAGAACCTTGGGGTCCTTGGCTCAGAGGATATTTTGGCGCTGCCTTTTTGCACATTCCTCGCTCTGTTCAAGAGTTGAGGCGGAGGTTAGCGACAGTGATGCCTACAAGAATTGGAATAAGCACGGACCCTAGTTTTTAGTGTTCGCTGCGGAGAAGCGGAGCAGCCAAGAGCCTGTTGGTGTGTGCACTTCAGTTTTGGAAGTGTCTTGGAGAAGAAGCTGGAAGCGGAGGAGTACATTAAAAAGCAGGGGCCTGGGTGGGCCTGTGATGTGATATGATGACTTCCAAACTGTCCTTGATGAAACGTTGCATTGAGATGACATGGGCTGTCTTTTTACTGCAGGTCCGGGCTTGACTATGTCATTATTCGCCCCGCCCAATGCCTCAGAATGCTGCAAGTTCTGCAGCAAGCAGATCAACTCGCTGCAACAGTGGGTTGTTTGTTGACGTGTCTTGCAGGGTGGTATGGCAATGTCACCCGTCCAGGTACCAATGGTCAATGATTTTCCAAAAGATGCGCCTTGGTTGCACTCGGCTGAGGCTGACTGTAAGGCAGTTGCAGAATTGGGAGCGGGGGGGGGGCAACGGGGGTTGGACCAGGTGGGAGGCTTGTTCTTTGCCAAGCCTGACACGCCCGGGACCGAGGTTTCATGCCGTTGCTTCATTCAGCAGAGTGTTTTTTCACTTGTTTTTGCCCAACATGTCAAGGACCAGGGCGAATGTTGGGTAATGATGGCACTGAGTTTGACAGGTTTGGCGCTGCGCCCTCTCACTGTTGAGGCTGCTCCTGCAGGACGGGGATGTGGGAAAGAAGGTCAGCCGCTGGGCTCTCGGATTTTGTGTGTGTCAAGCTTTCAACTTTCAACCGGTTGGACGAAAGTGCACACTAAGGTGATGATGTCGGTCTTGCCGTTCTCGACGCAATTTTCAACCCCAAGGCGTCCAAAGGCCGGAGGATGAAAGCAATGTCTGCGTGGGACAGGCACACGGCATCGGAGATGTGAGTGATGCAAAGCCAGATTTGATTTGCTAGCTTTCCATGCGGATTGATGATTGCAGGGCAGAACCACACACATGCATTTACTCAAATTTTGTTGGGGTTCTTTGGCACCAGTGACGTTTGGTGCCATGCGGGTCATGGCAGCTGGGTGCGCTGGAGAGGCACCTTTGAACTCACGGGCGTGCCTGGCGCGCAGCCCACGCCGCGTGAACAGCCCGGCAGCCAAGCAAGCATCCCACCCAAGGATGCACGGCCATGACTTGGCAGAAGGGGGTGGAAGGACCCCGGGATCCATTGAAACGATCCAAGGGAAACCAGGTCGCAAGAAAGAGTCTTGACTCTCTGGATGAACCCTTTAGAAGTTGTCAGCTTGGATGGGGGCGTGTTGCAGACATCATCGGTCATTCTCCGCGTCAGGTGGTGGGAACCGAAGGATGGCAAGAAGTCCACGCCCGCTTGAGCGAGGAGGAACCAGTCTTGCTGGGCAGAACTCGGATGAGAAACAGCTACTCCCCACACATGGCATGACTTGCGCAAGTGGAAGAATCACCACACCTGTGCAAGTTTGCATGTAGTCAATCCATGCGGCGGTACTGCATCATTTGAAATGCTTGGGGAGGGGCTCGACATTTTTCCATGTTGCAACCAGGTCTTGTGCCCGGGGGCGTGGCCCCCGGGCTTGGTGCGGGGAACTTCCGCAGGCCGTATCGGTGAAAAAGCCACGCGTGGGTCGAGCTTCGCGAGTGGCAGCTGTTGCGGAAAGGATGCTGGACATCCCCTCAGAGGGAGAGAGGTACCCGAGAAGAGCAAAGAGGGACCCTTTTGCTGGCCCGACAGAGCATTACGAATTCAGATTGCACAAGCTCAACGCAACATAGGATCTTTGAATGGGGTGCTGGAACTGTTACTTGCATGGATTCTTCCAGAAATCCTTGTTTCCTTACACTGCGCCCTGGCATGGGATGAAGACACGGTGAACTTGGCGGTGTTGTTGTCCATTTGTCCCGCATCATTGCCGCAGCGACCTGCTAAAGCAGCTCGCGTGCACAGAGCCCGTGACCCGGAGTCATGGCTGCAGCGCGCAGCTTTGCAGGAGGGGGAAGGCTTTGAGCTTCTCAGACGGTTGTCACTGGCTCCAAACCAGTACTCCCAGCGGACGAACGGGGTATACAGCCGCCATATCTAACATAGATCACCGGTGTACACGCATGTATAAAAGAGAGTTGAGCATACATGAATTAGCCAATAGACAAGTCAAGTATTCAAATACATATGCAAACAAACAAATAAACATATAGATAGAACATAGATATCCGACTAAGTAAGAAATGTAAGGCCGTAAGTAAGTAAGCAAGCAAACAAGTAAGCAAACAAGTAAGCAAACAAGTAAGCAAACAAGTAAGTAGGCAAACAAGTAAGTAGGCAAGCACGTATGTAAGCACACAAGTAAGCAAGTAAGTAAGTAATCAAGCAAGCACGTAACTAAATGAAGAAGCAAGCAAGCAAGCAAGTAAGCAAGTAAGGGAGTAAATTAAACACTCAACAAATACCTGATTTTTCAATAAGCAAATAAGTAAACACATGACTGAATACACATTATATAGATATACACATAATATATATACATAATATATATACATAATATACATATATATATATATACAATACATATACGTTATATATACATAATATATATATATACATGATATATATATATATATATACATAATATATATACACAATATATATATATATATATATACATTATATGTACATTATATATACATATATATATATATATACATAATATATAACTATGCACATATAGATGCATATATATATATATATACATATATGTCCAATATATACATATATATATATATGTACATGGCCAGTTTCCCTGGGGCTAGTGGCTTGAGGGTAGCGGAAACTACTTGAGAGAGTTTGGAATCATTGCCGTGAGCTGCTCAAGCTGCCTGCAGGACTCCTGCTTTTTGCTTCGGCTCATGGCCAGGTGAAGAGGTGTGGGCTGCCATTGTGTTGGGTCAAGATGTGAGCAGAGAGCGGCAAGATTAGGTACCATGTCGTTGAAGAATTTGTGGGACCAGACTTCTTCAAGTCCTGGAACTTCTACTCGGGCTCGGACCCCACACATGGCACAGCTGCCTGGCAACGAGAATGCGGCGCGGGCCGCGGGGGTTGCATGTGCAATACTACGAGTTGCGTGCCCGGGGAGGGTATCCTTGGCGTGCCCAGGTGAACTTTGTCACCGAGGAGCAGGCATGGCAGAGCCAGCTGCTCTCCGCATCCGAGGCCGCGCGATTTGGCGATTGTTTCGGTCCGTGCCATGTCTGGTGCTGCCAGTATGGCGTTGAGATGCGGGCGGACAGCACCACCAAGCTGGGAAGCGAAGGCGCGCACAGCGAGTCATTTGAACCCAGCCGAGCATTGGCCATTGGCCCCAGCCATCGGCCCAGGTGGGCGAAAAGCTGTGAGGATTGAGAGCAAGAACAGCTCCCACGCTGCATTGGCATGAGCGGATTGACAGCCGAACCGACTATATAAAACGTGGTGTGGGTCCGAGCCTTGCCAGCCGAGGCTACAATAGCGGCCTTTTTGTCCTCTCCTTGGACCATGTGCCCACGGCCTGTGGTGCGTGGCCCGCGTTCTGGATGTTTGGTGATGATGCTCAACACTCTTGGCCGCGCTGGGGGGAGTACGACATCCTGGCACCTCGGCTTGCTAGCAACGAGCGTGTAAGCCCGGCAACTGTCTTGCACAGCTCTAAGCTCGCATCCAGTGAGTCCTAGTCCTTATCGGTCCTTTGAATCAGGCTGCAAATCTACACATTCTATTGTCCGCCAGAACTGGCAGTGCAAAGAACGCCAGCAATCCTGGTTGCCTACTAGAGGGTGCAGACCAGTCTTGCTGTGCTGGGGTCATCGGGGGTCAAATCAGGAGTCCATCCACACGCTGAATTACGCTTCTTGGGCGGCACATTCTGGATGGAATGAGATGCCCACTGATCACACCAGAGTTGTTGTCAAGTTGACTGCTGTCGCATCATGAGGCATTCACGTTACCCAAGAAGCAACACAAGTAATTAGGAAGCCGAAGCTACTTCGAACTTCAGACCAGCTCAGGCGACGACCACTCTTCACACCCGCGAAAGCTGCGATCAGTGCCTCAGCATGCCTGAGCGAGAGCTGTTTCGGAAGGTGCGAAATTTGGCTGTCCAAAATGGACAGGGCTGGCCAGACCTCAAGTGTACCTCCCGTCCTTCTTCACAGCCCAGATGCCGCCAAGGCGTGATGTGAACAACGGCATTGACTTTGTTGGCCAGGGTTGGGCCGCCGGCTCTCTTGGCAACAACAAGGCCAAGAATTGCTGGGCCCCTTGGCCTCACATAGCGGGGCACTCCAAGACTTGGCGAAGCAAGGGCGCGATGGTTAGTTGCCCGTTTAGATCGCCTTCGTGTGTTTTGATGTGGCTTGCAAGCCGAGGTGAAGGCTCCGCAGGAGTACGATAATCAAGGCTGCGGCCAGAAATTGCCGGCAGGATCTTTTGGAGAAGGCTTCAACCAGAATGGAGGCTGGAGACAGACATTTAAGTCCAGCAGTCTTATGCTATAATTGTCGGAATCGAAGGCAGCTGAGTTGATATGAGTTGCTTACATGCGGGCCAAACACAACAGCTTGCTCCCTTGTGCAGGTGGGACTTTCGTGGCAGAATGGGACCGGGAGGCCGCAGCCTGAGAGACCATGTGCAAGGATGCCACATGGGCGACGAGCAACCAAGGACCGGAAGTTCATGCGCACTTGGTTTTTCCCCAAAGGCAAGGAGCCCATTGACCTCATTGTCCGTTCTCCTGAGCCCGATCTGCTATTTGACTGCAGCCAGTGCGGCAGTTCGCCCTGCAAAAATATGCAGCCGAGAAAGATTGAAGCAGCTTCTGGAGACTTCTCCAACGCATTTCCTGGCGCAATCCTTGTGCTCAGGTGGGGGACCCCGAATTCTTTCTTCACCCTGCATGAGCGATGGTGCCTTGGCAGTTACGGCTGCAATGCGCTCAGGGCAGCACGGGCTTCATATAATTTTTCGATCGGGTCCTGTTGCCGGGCAGCAAGTGCTGTCCCCATTTTTAGGTGCACAGCTGACCACTTCAAGAATATGCGGATGGTTTTCGACACTACGTTCTGCGGAAACCTGGCTATTGCTTCAATCCGATTGCTGCGTTCCAGAACTTGTGTGCTACAGTAACACAAGCTGGTGCTCCTTAAGAAGGGAAGCCAGCGGAAAGTCGCCCACGTTGTGGTGTCTCACATTTTGAAACCTAATTAGCCCCTGAGCTGAGTGCGCGCAGAGCCGCCGTTTCCCCAGGCGACTACGCTGGCAGCACCTTTGCTGCCATGTGCCCATCGATCAAGACCACCTGCGAAGACTATGTCAGGAATCACCCCGAGGCATTTAGTGACTGGGCTGGTCTCTCTGGAAGGTGCAGCACCGGCCACCTACCCCAGCGCATTGCATATGGTACGGTGCTGAAGCCTCTGAGGCGAGACTTTCTGGAACATCCAGCGCTTGGTAACTTGGCTTTGCACATTTTCAATAGTGTGATGCTTGATGTTTGGCCATTTTGGCCTCACGCCACGACGGGTACTCAGGATGTCTACCAGAAGCTGGACGGCGCCCAGCTGGCTGTGCTTCGGCTGCAGTACGTGACTCTCGGCTAGCTCAAGCTCGAAGCGCAGAGCTCCGCAATGCAACTCCGCAATGCCTTGAAAAAGCGGATGGCCCTTTAGAAGGCCAACTCGATCACTGGCCCTCTCAAATCTGGCTCGCCGAGGCTATGGCACCAGTCGACTTGGTGGAGGAAAGGCCCCATGGCCATGGCGTGCAGCTCGGCATGTACTAAGCACAAGTGTGGAAGCGTGGATATGGTATGATTGCACGGGTTTTAAGTTTTGCTTTGGCCGCCCATCATGGACTTGCAGCTGCCATCCTGCGCCGTTCATTTGGGGCGTGGCTTGTTCCAGTAGTCACTTCAGACAGAGCGAAGCACCTGCCGGCACTTGGCCCAGGGCAACATTTCTCATCACTCTGACCCTTCTTGTGGCGGCTGGAGCCGCTGGGTATTATTTCTACCACAAGAATGACAAGGTGAAGACTCGAGTCGATGCAAGCTGTCTGCAGCACAAGCATGCCAACTGCATCAATCAAGTGTGAAGACGAAGCCAGGCATGTCCTTGACTGCGTTTGTGTAACCACTTCTGCTTTGGCGACGCCTGGGCTTGAATCTCAGGACTGTATTGAGGCTGCAGGCCTCACGGAGACTTTACAGCAGGTTCAGGAAACTTGCCACGGGGGCTGGCAGCGTATGAAGGACTCTCTCAACCCTCGCGGGGAGAGTGATGGCGAGGCGGGCAGCGCTTCTTGGCGCATGGCTTGGGATGGTTTGGGCCCTAACCGCACGGAAACACGTTTCCAGCCTCTTCGTTATGTTCATGCACGCCTCTTCATTCCTGGAAGTGCAAAGCCACAGTAAACCAAGCAGGAGGAAAACAAGTTGATAAATCTGGAAGGCTTGAGGAGGGTACACCTGTTGAACCTCATGCTTTCCTGGGTCATCTGCAAAACACTCAGTTTATTCATCGCGAGGGTGAAGCAGCACGAGGTCAACAGTTGGTCAAAGGCTGCATGAGAAAGTTTGTAGGCGCAGAGTGGACGTTAGCATTGCCACCCTGCCCAACCCCAGACCCATAAACTGCAACAATATGGAAACCCCCGACCCCCTCGCGAAGTTATTACCTGGACAACAAGAAATGGCTGACCTGACTGAGAACAAAGCCAAGCACGAACAACCACCTGACTACGAACACCTTGCTAGCAAGCCTTTGGTGCTCTAAATGCTGTGACGGCTAGGGAAGCGAAGACAATGGGAAGACCGGACTGAGGAAATCTTACAGGTAGCCTAGAGGACTACAGGAAGACTATGGGGAGACTACAGGAAGACTAGTACAACAGCTGGCAGCACAGGGAACTACTGACAACGATTGTAATGCAACAGCACTTTTCGACGCCTTTCGTTTCACCTGAATGCAGCGTCCATCAAACTGCTGCTCCAAAATTGGCACCCTGGGCAGTGGGGTTTCTCCTGCGCGCAGACCCCGCCCGACACCCCGGTGACCTCGCCGCGTGCGCTGGCGGCTGCGCCGCCGCCAAAGCAGAGCGGCTCGCCGACTCCAGGTCGACCCGGGAGAGTTCCTGCGGTATTGGCTTCAGCCTGGGGGATATGGGGGCAAACAGTTGCATTTCTGGCCTGCCATGTTCATGCTATCGGCATTTTATTTTTTTGCTTTTGTCATGGTGCGAGTCACAATTGTTGCCTTTTGTGGCTGCTCTTTTGTGTGAGCTTGCAGGGAGTTAAGAAAGAAGACATGCTGGTCCCTCAGGATCCGATACGAAGCCACTAAAATCCCAGGATTTGCAGCTCCACTTGTACCCCTTCTGTTAAAGTCTAAAAGTATGAAACCATTGTGATGTAGCGTGGGAATGGGTCGCAGGGTTTCAGTGTAGGGCCACATCACTCCGCAACAGAACTATGAGTCTAAAAAACTTCCTCGCACTTATATCAGCTGCTTGCCGTTGCTTTTGTTTCTTGTTTTGCGACTTCATGAAGTTCCTCCAAGATCAGCAAGATAGCGGCAT